AACTACACCCTGCCAGGTAGAGGGGCCATCATCCTACAGGATGCAGTGTATTCTTTAAACTATAACCATATGCAATCAGATGTGGCCAAGAGGCAGAGTAGCAGCAGCCTCGTGACTATTACACCTAAAGTCTAGAATCTCCTGGAAGAATTTTGCTACCCATTCCCATAATCTTGGACTCAGGGAGTTTGGCAATCCTAGTACCCAGGGAAGAATTTTATCAACCATGGAACAATCGTCATGTTCATGACTTGGAAGCTGAGATGGCCCCTGGCCATTTTAGTTTCTTCTGCTACCGAACCAACAGGCAGAGAAAGGCGCCTCTGTAATGTCTGGGTTGATTAAACCCAATTACTGGAGAAAATTAGGTGGTTGCTATTGCATAATAGAGGCAGGGACTAGATCTGGAACCCAGGGATTCCCTGAGGTGCCTCTTAATAATCTGCCCAGTAGTTCTAGTTAACAGAAAATTTCAGCAACCAAACAAAGCCAAGACCACAAAAGACTCAGACCCTATAAGAGTAAAAGTCAGTAACCAGGTAAAGAGTGTGGTGCCAGCCATGGATAAGGAGAATGTGTCATTAGGGGTGAAAACAGGCAGCTGTGATTATGAACTTGGGCCTGGTAACCCCCATTTTCCCCTGCTACCTTATGTGAAGAACACTGGTGATAGCTAACATTTTAGGTTTCAGTGGGAGTATGACCAAACTAACATCCCATCCCAATCATATAGTAGTTGGTGATCCACTGTGTGTCCTCTGTGCTGGGGACATGAAATTTTCATCTGGACAAAAGATAAGAGGAACTTCTCTGTGACTTTCCAGACCGCCTACCCCTACTCCCTGCCCTGTACCCTGGGAAGCTGAACTGCATCAAAGGACCCTCACGCCCTCCACTTGGATTCAGCCAGTGGAGGCACCAGCCAGGGATCAGAAGGTAGGAGGATCAGAAGGCACAGTCAGGGCATTTACTCTCCTGCTTCCCTCCCCGCAGGATCAACACTGCCAATGCCCATTGACCAAAGGCACCCTCTCCAGAGCTCTGTCTGACTCTGGGTTCCTGAAACTGCTCCCTCTCCCCTCTTAAGACCGCAGGTGCTGACACCCACCACTCCTAGCTGCAGGGGGCCATAGCAACCCCAGTGGGTTCTCTATACCCTGGCCACACCTTTATAAACAGTCCCTTCATTAAATATCTCTTCAAGTTGCCCCTCTGCATTCTTGCTAAGACTCCAGGACATACAGTATGTGTGTTAATTAGGATTAGTTTTGGCAATGAGCAACAGAAAACCCCAAATAGCAATAGTTTACATAAGATTAAAGTTTATGTCTTTCTTACATAAATTACAGTTAGTATCAGCAACCGAAACTGGTGTGGTGGCTCCATGAACATCAGAACATAGGCATACATGTTTTTAATCCTTTTTAAATGAATATCATAATTGAAACATTTTTCCATGTCATTACAAACTCTTCAAAAAGAATCAAAACCTGGCTCAAATATCATCTTCTAAAGCACTTTCCTGAGGCTTGCTCCAACCCAGAAGAATGATCTCCCCTCTCTACCCCAGGACCCCACTCTTCTCCCCTACTCTCTCTCTCTCTCTCTCTCTCTCTCTCTCTCTCTCGCTCGCTTGCTCTCTCACACACACACAGACACTCACTTTGTTTGAGACATCTGCTACATCCAAGTCCCTCATCCATTTGTAAACCTGTCTGTTTCCTTCCTTTGCCTTATCCACAGCTGCAATTGCCAGCAGAAAACAGAGACCAATAAATGAGTTTGAATAAAAGGACATTTCAAGGTCTGCATAATATTTCACCATGTAGGTACACCCTGGTTTATTTAGCTATATCCTTATCATTAAACACTTCGGTGATTTTTATTTTTCATTATAAATATCACACATGCCACCCCCTATTCGCCCCTCTGGTTGCAATCTTCTCCTTGGTAGGTCAGATTTACAGTCAATAATTATTGGCAAAATCAGCAATCTTTTCCCACTAAGCGCTGCTACTTTTCCTTAATTTTCTTTTCCACATCCTATGCAGCTCATCTCAGTTTACCAAGGGCCCGCGGTTTTCTACCCGTGCATATGAAAACCCGCAGGAGAGGGATGGCCTGCTGTGTGCCTGGCGCCTACATGGATGCTCACAATTCAGTTCATTCACCCAACAACCTTGTGAAGAGAGCTTTGGAGAGACAGACCTGCAAACACACCCCCATAGTGAGCTCGCTGCTCCACCACTTGCTGGCTAGATAATCCTTAGCCCTATAACTTCACTTCCTGACCTCAGTTTTCTCAGCTGTTAAAACAGGGATGAGAATACCTGATACGGGTGGTTGTAAGGATTAAGGGAGATGTTTGCGAACAAGCCTGGCTCTTAGCGGCCCGTCCGCAAACGCCAGGTTCAATCCCAAATCAGGAGCCCAGAGAAGGGATTCAGCTGGGGATGTAAGGTCAGCATGGCAGCGCGTCCTTAGCACCCCGGGCAAGGGCACTTTCTCGGACCAGCAAGACAAGGGGGCGGAGGGAGATTCCTGAGGCTCCTGGAAGGACGGAACGTAGTGAGAGCGTCAGGCAACGCGTCGGGGAGGCTGGGGGCCAGGAGGATCTGTGGACGGGTAGCTGCAGCCCCGGGAGGTGGCCCAAGCCGGCCGGCGCAGGGGGTCTTCCGCCTTCCTGTGTCTGGGAAGGTCTTGAAACCCAAAAGAGACCAGAGGCTTCCCCATCTGCATTGTGGTAACGGAGCCGGGGCCAGCACCTCCCCAGGCTGGAGGGTGGGAGAGTCGTTAGGGACACCTGCCTTCCCCCTCCCCCTCCCGGCGGGAACCCACGGTGACCGAGCGCACCTGGGCGCCGGCGCGCCTGGGAACACGAGGCGCCCCAGGCCTCCAGGCTGCTCCAGGGAAGGGCGGTGGCAGGCGGCCCTGGCCGTCGGGGCTTCCCTGCGGACCGTGGAGAGTGCAACCCACATGATTATTAAAATAACCATCCAGATGGGGGGAGGTTGGCACCGGAATAAAGAAGTCGGGGAGCCAGGAAGAAATAAAACCGCCACTGTAAAAGATAATAACAAAGGACGTTTTGCAAATAATGGGGATAGGAAGGGTTCTTCAGTTAATAATCTTGGGATATTTGATTCGCTTTTTGGGAAAAAAATGAAATTCAGATGCACATCTTATATCATACACCAAAAGTAATTCCTGACAGAATTAAATGGGGGAGAGAGCATTAAACTATGTATGTGCAAAAGGACAACAAACAAAAGAAAGCATGGATCCGCAGTGGGGAGGATTTTCTAGGCTTGACAGGGATGAGATAAACCCCAGTAGGAAAGATGACTATGTTGGTTTATACAAAACAAGAAAACTGCAGGTTAAAAAACAAAGAGAAATTAAAAGTAGTCAGTGAATTGGAAAATGGCTCCCGCAAGTACAGTACACAAAGGACTGGTGTGGTTAGTACGTGGGAGACAGACAATACAGTGAAGGAAACAACTAAGTGGGAAAGTAATGTGATCAGAGAAATGAGGTATCATTTTTAGCTGATTGAATTAGTAATTTTTTTAAGGAATGCCAAAATGCTGGTGGGGATGAAGTAGGCCTTTCATGCATTGAGTAGAAGATAAATTCGTGTATGAAATGTGTATCAGGGAACTTAACATCACTAACCACTAGTGATGCAAATTGAAACCACAATGGGATAACACTTCACACAGGTTAGGATAGCGTATACACCAAGAAGGAAAAGAACATTCATTGACTTTTTACTAAGTATAAAGAACGGTGCTAGGCTGTCTTCAGGGATTATCTTGTTTAAATATCAGAGGATCCCTTTGATGTATTATTATCCCCGGGGTAAATTGAGGACATTGAGGATCAGGGAAATACATAATTTGGTGGAAGTCATACAGCTACTGAGTGACACAGGATTGAAAGCCACACTTCCCAGCCCACACTCTGAACCGAATTCTGTTCTGTATCCTGTGTCATTGCACATTCTCTGAAAGCATGGTTTTAAAAACTGCCGCATAATATTCACTAATATAAATACACCAAACATGAATTAATTCTACCCTTTCCCTAGCATTGAACGATTATGTTGATTTTATTTCTCTTGCTTTTTAAACACTTTGAGGAATACTTTTTGCATGAATCTTTCTTATAATGACTGAATCTCTTATTACTTCATTAGGGTATGTATCTAGATGTGAAGTTTCTGGGTCAAAATGACAATGAGAACTAAAATGTATTGGGAGTTACTGAAAATGGCATTTATAAAAAGTTTAGTTTTAAAAAGAGATTTGATAGGATGGGTAAGGGATATAGGGGAAATCTCTGAACCTTCTACTCAATATTTCTGTAAACCTGACACTCTGAAACTAGAACAATTTTTTCTGAAACTGCCCTAAAAAAAAAAAATTCTGTTTAAGAGGGAATGGTGGATGGGTTGTAATAACATAGGAATAAGTCTATTAGGCTTTTGACCATAGTCAGGCCAGCCATCAGCAAAACAGTTCAAAGCCTGGCTCTGCCTCCTGCCAGCTGTGTCACTCTGGGTAGGTGTGTCCAGGTCTCTGGGCATCAGTTACCTCGCCTGTGAAATGGGACTGGCAGTGGTTGGTGGATGGAATGAAGCGCTGTATGTTAAGCCCCTGACATGCTACTGCCTGGTGCACTGTGGCCTGGAGGTGGCAGGACAGGGGGCTGGGAGAAGACTTTGCAGACTGTGAAATGCTCTTCAGAGGGGAGGGAGTGTAGCATCTGGCTCCCAGAGTGGGAGCGGCACCCTGAGTTCCCCGTCCCTGTGAGAGTGGATTGGGTTTGTGGACAGGGGTGGGAGGGGCCCCGGGTGGGAGGGGCCCCTCACAGGGGGCTCGTGGTGGAGCACCTGAGGTGCAGCTGGGCCTGTGGCCTGGCAGGCAGTCTCGCGGGCGCCTCCTCCCCAGCCCACACCTCTGGTCTGCAGCTGGGTCCTGCCTCCTCTCAGGTGGGCCATGGCTGGGACTTGGCTTCTGCTACTCCTGGCCCTTGGGTGTCCAGCCCTGCCCACAGGTGAGCCCCCCACCCCCCGCCATCCCCACAGCCCTCTGTGCCCCCTTCGTCTGCCCAAGCCCACTCCCTTGCCCTGGGCCTCCCTGGTGGGGGTGGGATGCAGGAAGGCAGGACCAAGCTGTTCTGGGCCCCCATGAAGAGTCTCACCACAAGCCATCATCCCCTTGCCCCCTGCTCACTACGTCCCAGCTACCTGGCTCGGGGGCCCCAAGTCCTGCTTCCTGGAGTCCACAGTGTTGGTCAGAAGGTATAGAGAAACAGGAGCAAGGTGGACTGGGTGGGGGTGTAGTAGCCGGGGCTGTGCTGTGTGAGGTGGGGTGAGGAATTCAGGCAACACTGTGGACCCTCTTCTGCCCTTCCTGTCCCCATCCATCTCCTGCCCTCAGGATGCCCTATTCCACCAGGGCTCAGAATGTCTCATGCTCACTCCCTGCTCCAGCTTATCAATAGGCTCTCAGGAGAGGTCCCAAGGCCTCAGTGGCTTCTTGGGGGTATTGACCCTCAGTCTTCCAAAGACCAAGGCTGGAGCCAAAGGCCTTGTGCTTTGAGGGGAGAATTCCAACTTCATCTAGAAGCATGTGCATGTACGTGTGTGGTCGAAGAAGGTCCTTGACCTCGGAGTCAGGGAGTCTCCTTGTCCTAAAGCTGACCCTCAGTATTTCCACAGACTCTCTCTCCCTAGGGAGATAAACCACATCAGTGTGGAGCAGGGAGAGCCTGTGACAGGGTGTCTGAGCTCTGGGAAGGAAGCAGCCAGGGGAAGAAGGCACAATCCCTGGTGGTAGATGCTGCACTCAACTTGAAGTGTCTGAACAACTGAAAAGGCTCAGGAGGTTGAGGGCCCTGGGGCTCACCCGCGGCCTTCTCTATGCCCTGTGAGTCCTTATTCATGTTAGTATTGATAATAATAATGAATCTTTATCTGCCAAGATGTTTTCTATTCATGATCTTTATTCTTCACAACAATTTTACTGGGCTGGTGTTATTAACCCCATTATATTGATGGGACAATTGAGACTCAATGAAATTAAATGGATGAAGCAGGAGTTAAACCAGCTTGGTCTGATGCCATGTTCCAGACTTGGTCCACTATGTCACATAAGGAAGCTTAGTCATCCTTCCAAGTGGGGTGTTCTATGGGATCGGGAGTCAAAGAAACCTTCAAATCCTGCTTACCATCCATGTACTTGTATATGAGTTCCTTGATCTTCAAGAAACCTTTCCCGAGCATTGCCCCGACACCTGCCTCCTCACAAGACCCTCTGGCATCCTTTTCTGCACCCTAGGGCATTTCTTTAGCCTGGCTGCACTTGACTTGTGGTACAAAGTTATTAGTGGGTTTTAACCTTTGAGATTTTATTTATATCAACAAATACCCAATTATTCAAGAATACCATTTTGTTATATTATATATTTTGTCATCTTTACTGAAAATAATAAGATTGTAGAAAATCAAGACAATTCTGGGAAATATAGGACAGATGTTTGCAATACCCAGGAGACTATTTTTTTAAATTATGAAATAATACAGGTGTTCACTTTAAATGGGTGAATTATATGGTACATGAATTATATCTGAAAAAAAGCTGTTAAAAATACTACAGATCTACAGAAAAGAACTGAGGTTAATACAACAAGCACCTATGCATATTCCATTTGGATTAACAAATGGTTAAAATTTTGCCACATTTGAATCAGACAAAAGAAACAAAAAGTTAACAGGTACATCTGAAGCCCCTTTGATCTCATTCCAGATCTTATTTCCTTCCCTTCCTCCCCAGAGGTAACCGCTCTCCTGAGGCTGGCACAACAAGGTATTTAAGTATTTGTTTATGCATCTGCTGTTTCTCCCATGAGACTGGGTTCCTTGAGGGTAGGGACAATGTCTCAGTTAATGCTGTATCCCCAGTGCCTGGCACAGAAAGGTTCAGATATGATAGGTGATGGATGGATAGATGGATGGATGGATGGATGGATGAATGGATGGGATGGGATGTTTATAGGGAAGGTAGAAAGAATACATGTAAGAAAGATGGATGATGGAAAGGATAGATGAATAGATGGGTAAATGCTAAAAGAGAGGGATGGGTGAGTCAGTGGAAGGATAGATAGACAAATGGTGGAAGGATAGAAGCCTACTATGAGACGCTGGCCTGAGAAGGCAGAGCCAGATCTAGTCCCCCACCGGTGATGCCCTCTTGCAGGTATGAGTGGCACACCCTTCCCCTCTCTGGCCCCACCAATCACCCTGCTGGTGGATGGGAAGCAGCAGACACTGGTGGTCTGCCTGGTCCTTGATGTTGCCCCTCCTGGCCTTGAAAGCACCATCTGGTTCTCAGCTGGAAACGGCAGTGCACTGGACGCCTTCACCTACGGCCCTTCCCCAGCAGCAGACGGCACCTGGACTAGCTTGGCCCAGCTCTCTCTGCCCTCTGAGGAACTGGCGGCCTGGGAAACCTTGGTCTGCCACACTGGGCCTGGAGTTGGGGACCACAGCCGGAGCACACAGCCCCTACAGCTTTCAGGTGGGCGTGGAGCCTGGGCCCCTATGACTACTCCCTGCCTCTTCCACACACCCTGGAGTCAGGCTATGGTAGGAGAGAGGGGAGGCTCCAGGCCATGGGGACATGGAGAGTGTTCAAGTGCCAAACAACTGTGACATCTCCTTCAAATCAGGCTCTGATGCATGACTTCCAAGAGGTAATGCCTCCTTCCTTGGGTTGAGAGAGATACAGCTATAAACCCTGTTACCTAGGGTTAATACTATTTCTATATGTATACCTAGGGTCAATATCTCTATCTTTATCACCCTACACATGACACCCTTCCTATTAGATCCAAACAATAATTAAATAATAAATTGTCATCACTTACTCATTGAGCCTTTACTCTGTGCCAGGCATGGTTCCAAACACTTCAAATCCATGAAGTAGGTCATATTATTTCCCCTCATTGTACAGGCACAGAGAAGTCACCTATCCAAAGCCAGCTATTATTACTGACCAGATAATTTACTCTCTTTTTTGGGTTATGTTAGTTTTATCATCTTCCAAATTGGAATGTCTGTTGAATAAATGCCTTGCCTTCCAAAGAAGGCTGCTCAGAAAATGAATTCCTCATCTAAGTGCTGAGGAACCTCAGCCTCCCTGGGGCACAGAACAGTGGACAGTGGGGAATGAGGGAGATCTGGGCCCCTTGGAGGACTTGCAGCAAATTGGTCATTTAGCCAACATGCAATAAACCACTGGAGTGGCGGGCGTGGCCCATCCCAAAGGACTCACTCCCTTCTCCTTGGCCAGCAGGAGAGGCTTCCGCAGCCAGGACCTGCCTCTGGGAGCCTCTCAGGGGTGAGTACAGGGGACCAGGACTTTGGGTGCTATTGGGCTCTGGCCCGATGGGTCCACTGGGGGATTCGTGGGTGTCCCCTGATGAGGCCTTGCTGGGTTTGAGCACTGGCAAGCCTGGGCCTCAGTCTACACGTGGGTAAGATGAGTGAATCCGCTGACCCAGACTGATGGCAGAACACAAGGAAGAAGCCCGGGTGGTTGCTAACAGAAGGGGCCTGGAAGCTCGCCTTGGGCAGCAGCAGTGTAGGAGGGTGGTCTCAGCGCCAGAGCCATGTGTAAATGGGAGACTGGGTGGTGGGAGATCTTGAGTCAGGTTCTGCTTCTTGACCAGAGGCTTTTCAGCTGGTTTCTCTCCTCTGCAGTGGATGCTAATTCCTGCCTGACTCACATCCCCCTGGTTGTTGGGGAATAAAATAAAATGAAGGCTAGGAAGATACTTGTTGTTATTACCAGTGAGACCTGAGGTTAGACACCGGGAAGGACGTTCCTCAGATTTGGGGGACGACGGTGAGGAGGAACGGCCAAGGCCCCTCTTCCCCGGAAGCCTGTCTTCTGCGGTTGGGGCGGAGGGCCAACCCCCAGGCCCCTAAGAGGCGCCTTGTTCCCCGCAGGAACAGCGGGCCAGGCGCTGCTGCTGGGGGTGCTGCGGCTGCTGCTCTTCAAGCTGCTGCTGCTGGACCTGCTGCTGACCTGCGGCCGCCTCCGCGCCCCGCCCGCCGCGCGGGGGACCCGGCCAGGCCGCCTGGCCCGCGGGACCCCGGGCTCGCCGCGCCGCGCACTGCCCCGCGGCCCGACCGCCCTCTCCGCCCGCAGCCTCCGCCGCGGGGCGAGCCCTCAGCCCCCAGCAGGTGGGTTGGCCTCGGTGATGGGGGGACCACAGGCCCAAGGTTCGCCCTGCCCGTCCCGCCAGCGCCGCAGCCTGGAGGCGGCCGCGGGGTTCACAGCCTCCGTCCGGGGCGGGATCCCTGGCGCTCAGGCTGGGAGGGGACGCTCTCTACCGACCAACTTTGGCCCTGGAGCTCCCGACCCTCCCGCTGCACTCCTGCCTCACGCCTTACGGCCTTTGTATGTGACCTTGCCTTCTTCAGACAGGAGCTTCCTGGGCGCTGGGAGACAGCTTCCTGTCTCCCTGCTCAGCCTGAGGCTTTCTGGGGGAAAAGGCTGTGTCTCTCCGTCACACTGGGAGCTCCTTGAGGGTGGTGATCCACCCAGGCACTTGGGCATTTGAGGTGCAGAGAACTGTAGCAATTAAAGGAGAATTTAAATGACACCAACAAGTGAGAAATACTTTAATTCATGAGTCTACCCTGGGAGGAGGGAATTTGGCAGAGTTAGAGGAGGCAGAAGTCTGGAAAGGCTCCCTTGAGGAAGAGGGCTTCCTGTGAGTGAGACCCTGGGAATTGCAGATGGGGCTGGGGGTTGGGGAAGACTGTGTCCATCTGTCTCCTTCCCCCACAGCCAGGCTAGGGTGAGGCCCCCTTTCTGTCTCCCCACCTTGACCCAACCTCTGTAAGAGGTCAGGGTGAGGAGCCCAGGAACTCAGGAAGGTGGGGTGGTGCTGGGCCCGATGCAAAGCCTTGTACAGACTCAACAGAAATGAACAGGGCCAGGATCCCAGGGTAACAGGATCATGTCCAATGCCAAGAGTATGGAGAGTAATTCCAAACTTATTAATCAATTAAGGGTCATGACTCATTTAACAAATATTCATTGAGTATCAACTCTGAGCTAGACACTAAAGAGGTTTTTTGTTTGTTTTGTTTCCTAAAAAGGGTTGTCACACTGATAGAATAAGAGGCTCCCACAATGGACTGTAAGTCAGCCTGTGTGTCCCCCACTTCCCCAGTGCTGGTAAGAAATCCATCCTTTCCCAGGGGTTCCTCTCCAGTCATCTCCCCAGGAATCTCTGGATACTTGCATGTAAATCTAGATGTTTCAAGGGCAGCACAGGACAGTGGGCTCAATCATTGGTGCTACCTTCGTCTCCTTTCCCCCAAGGTAGTGGCAGGGAACGATGCTATAACTGCTGTTGCATCCCCACACAGTGTCAATGACATCTTCAGCTTCCCTGAGCCTCTATGCTCTCCCAGCTGTTCCATGAAAACCCTCACCATCTCCTCTACTGCTCATCTCTCATCAGCCCATAAGGAGACTCTCCTGCCTTCTTTTTTTTTTAATTCTTGAAGGACAGGCATCCCACAATTTCTGGGGTTGAATCTGTCCACCATCCCCAACACACAGACTGAGGGAGGGGTAGGCTGGTTGGGTGGGAGGCCTGTCCAGCCATAGTCTCAGACTTTCCTACCCTCTGTCCCTTATCAACTCTCAGCTCAGATGCTGAGCCCAGCGCTCCTGCCAAACTAATTCATGCCTCAGTAAACATCCTCTCAGAGGTCCGTTTGTTCATTCTGGAAACAGGACTTCCCTTAGCTTAAACAGTCCTCTCCATCATGCCCCAGTTCCCTAAACCTGTCCTGCCCCAGACTCAGTCCCCAGAATTGTGGCTGGCTTACTGTTATATCCCAGGAGGGCTCCTGGGTCTAGGTAAATGAAGGGCCATGGCCAGGCTCTGAGCCTCCCCAAGTCTTATGAAGTCCAGAGAACATGGAGGACTTCAGGAGGGGTTCCTGATCCTGTACACTGTGGAATTCTACATATCACGGCCCCTGCCTATCCAAAGTGCCTGTCACCCACACACTTGTTTTGAACAAGAAGCTCAGGAAATGACAAGTCAAAAGGCTGAGCATCAGCCCTTTGATGGATTCATAACATAGCATCAATATTCAATCTCTACAAAGGAAACACAAAACACTGGTGAACAGGCCTTTGTGGGTAAAAGTGGATTTTGTGGACAACATTCCAGAGAAGTGGCCTTGGTCTGTGTGCATTCATAGAACACTGAGCTTGGGGTCAACCTGAAGCAGCCCCAAAGACCCAGAGAGTCCTTCTCCTGATGACACAGCAGATAAGGCAGAGGTGGGGGGTGGGGGTGGTCTCACTGAGCATCTCATTTGACCCTTAATAACAGGCACCTTGTTATTGCCAGGAAGGTGGAAGGGAAATATATCCATTAGTTAAGTCCCTGACTTCTGGAAGCTCAGAATTCAAATAAATAAATAATAGGGCAGAAAAGGGGACTGATGTTACATATTAAAAAGAAAATGTGTGAATGTTTTACAATCTGTTCGAAAAGCTTTAACCTATTTGAGCTACCCAGCAACGGGCAAGGCTTGAACAGCAGCTAGGAGGGGTCACTCTGTCATCATCCAGATGGAAACTAAGGCTCAGAAAGAGAGTGATTTGCTCTGGTTCTCTCTGGGACAAATCTAGGGAGACTGGGCACTAAGTAAGCTGTTTGCAGGCTGGGGTCTGTTTGAGTGGTCATGGTCTCACCCACAGCACCTAACGGAGTGACTGGCAATTACAACAATAACAACGACAACACAAATAATAAAATTTTAAAACAGGTGGTCACTAGGGGTTTGCTGCATTATGACTCCAGGAGGGAAGTGGAGTGCAAGGAGGCGGAGGAGGCAGTGAAAACAGCCTTGCGCAAGTCTTGCAGGACCTGCGCGCCCTACCCTCTCCAACTCAGTACCAGCCGCTGCTTCTTCTCCACGGTATTGGTCCTCCGTAGTCGGTGGGAAAAGATGCTACCATAGGTCACTGAGGACACCATCCATTCTCTCATTGGCCGACGACGAAAAAAATACTCGTCCTCCCATTCGCAGGAAAGCGAATTCCGAAAAGCCCATTGGCTGCGCCGGCTTTGGGGACGGGACCAAGGCGCCGGAGGAGGGAGCTGACGGCCTCGCGGTTTCTCTGGTTACGCCGAGGCACGTGTGCAGTCCCGGAAGCGGCTCCTGGGAGCTACCCTGCGCGCGCCCGGGGAGGAAGCGCGGCTGGGTCCGGCTGGGCCATGGAGCCACTGCCTGACCCCGCGTGCCGGCCCGGGCTCCGCTGCCTTCTGCTTTTACCCCCGCTACTGCTGCTGTTACTGTCGTTGCCGGATCTGGGCCCGAGCCAGGCTCATGCGGATGAGACCGACTGGGTCCGACTGCCCAGCAAATGCGAAGGTGAGGGGGCGGGGCCCACGGAGGATCCTGCCGGCGGGGGGGTGCTTGCAGAGAAGGATCAGGGAACGAACGGAGTGCCCTGGGCTCCTGAGCCCGTCTCTTCACTCCTTGTACCTTCTGTGTGCGTGAGTGCTGGGGACTCAGGTCTCAGTGCACCTGGAGCTAACAAAATATAAGCAAGTAGTTATAATCCGGGGTCGTAGATGCTGAGATACAGCAGGTACAGTGATTTGCGGGCCGGTGAGGAACGTTTAATGTAGCCCAGGGGTTGGGGGAAAGGCTGTGCGTGAAGGGAGATCAGCAGAGGCTTTGTATAAGGAAGCCCGAAGAGTAATTAGGAGTTAGCGGGTGAAAAGAGAGGGTCCCAACAAAGGAAACCACGGATGTATAGGCCTACGGGCTGAGAAGCAAAGGACAAGTTTGAGGAACCGAAAAGATGACTGGTCTTGGGGGAAGAAAAGCCTGAGACTCTCCCCTTAGTGCCCTCCCCGCCACCTAATCTGTGTGATTGGCTGGCTCCCTGATTAGCTGTGAGCTCCTTGAGGTCAGGGACCTTGTCTGATATTTATTCACAGTCCCTGGTAGGCATCCTGTAAATGCGCCTGATATAAATATGAATAAATTTGAAATAAATAAGGGTGTGTGAGGAGGAAGGAGGAGGGTCAGAGGCCTAAGGAGTCACTTTAGGAGAAGAATAGAGCCTGGGGGAACTTGGTGAGGGATGAGGATTTTAAGAATATGGAGAAAAAGTGAATCCCAAAGACATATGGGTGGAGGTGTGGAATTTAGGAGGATAGAGAAAGGAAAATGCCAGCGTACTAGTCAGTGGTGCAGGGCTATGAAAGGCCTGCATTTTCTTCCTCCCCTCCATTTTTGTTTTCTTCTCAGAACTTTATAGTCACAGGTTCCTTTCTGCATCCCTGACTCCCCACCCCACGAAGAAAGTTGGCTCTAAATCCATTTCATCCTGAGTCAAAGCCTACATCAGCCAGATGTTCCCAAAGTACTGGGATGTGGGGGTGGGGTGGTTTGGTGCACATAATCCTTCCATTTGAGAGATTAAAGGTGAGATGCTTCGGACAGGAGCTGGTTACCCTGGTACAGCTCAGCATGGATTCTAGCCTGTATGCTCCCTCACTGCCTTGAACAGAGGCTTATGATGCTTTCCTTTGACTCTCCCTCTAGTCCTAACTGGTATGGTATAATCTGGGGGTTTCACCTCCTCTTCTCTGTTTTCTATCTTACTCTGATACCAAAGAGTCCCTTCTAGTTCTCTCTCTCATAGCCTACAAAACTCACATTTCTTTTCCTTAGGAGGCATTGGCAAACTTACAAAAGCATAGAGCTGGCAAGGACCTTAGAGGTCATTCTAGTCAAACCTCATTTTGTAGGTAATTAATAAAGATTAATTTAAAAGGTATTTGCAGTAACAGGATGACTTGGCAAAGTCTAACCCTTAGGCTTCTCTTAATAGTATATTTACTTGTATTCATTATTACACCTTTGTTACTAAGTGTTGACTGTGTCCAGCGCACAAAGCCTGCCTCCTGGCGCATTAGCCTGAATAGAACAGGCCTTGGCACAGAGGAAGGAGAATCTGCCCAGAAAAAGAGTAGGTGGATGTCTCTGAAGGTCTGGGGTCACTTCCTTGAGTTTCCTCGAACTCTGGTTCTGGGTGGGATCTCCAGAGGGGGTCCTAAAGAGGTAAGGTTTGGAAAAGTTGGGAAGCAGGGTTATGGTTGATAGGAATAAGAGAGAGAGGATGTTCCAACCCCCCAGGGCCTGGAATACTACATGTTTTGGGCATGGGAGAAGGAGCAAAAGAGCCAGAAAAATGATGAGTTTGCATAGAGTACAGGACACAAGAGGGGAGGGAACCCAGATGGTCCGAGATGGAGAGCCAGGGAGGTGACATGTCCTCAATTCACTGCAGACTTTGAGTTCACCAGCTTTTCTTTTGGAATTTTCATGTGTTCCAAGTTCTCCAGGCCTTTTATTAATGTATATGTCATTAAATTTCACCAAGCAAGCCTCCAGGGGATGTGTTCTGGTGGTAGATTGGTTTTCTGTGAAACCCTGCTGTCTGTTAGAACAATGCCGATGGCATTTAGCCTGCATGTTCCATTCAGAGGCTTGAGAAGCTGCTCGACAACAGTCTCAGCAGTATTTATCAAGTGTCCAATGCATACAGAGCCCCAGACTCGAGGAATACAGAAGAAACCCAATACATGACACTCACTTTGGGTACCTTTGGAGTCTAGTCGGAAGAGACACATGTAAAGGCCCTTAGTAAGAGCATGGACCTTGCCGAGGCCCAGATGAAATCAAGAGCAGGTGAGATGAGTGCAGAAGGGCTTCCTGGGCAAGAAGGCTATTAGTGTACTGTTGGGAGAATAGGTAGAAAAGCCCCTGGAGGGCATTAAGCACTTTTCTAGGACTTCAGTCACTTGACACAGTTAGTGGTAGCACTCCTTATGCAGTGGTAATTATTTGTTTACATTTCTTTCTGCTCCATTAGACTTTGGATCTGGAAGGAGTGGACCTCATTTTCATCTCTGAATCCCCAGGCAGTGCCTGACATAGGAGCTGCTTAATAACTGTTTGAGGAAGAGTCAGAGGAAATGGGAAAATGAATGTACAGAAACAGTAGAAACAAAGCCTCTGGAGGGATTGGAGCAAAATTAACTTGGTATAGGAATAGAGAGCTGGTGTTGGAACAACAAGTAGTAAAACTGCTGTAAAAGACATTTGGGGGACAATTGGGGAAATTTGAATATGGATTGAGAATTAGATATTGAAATTATTAATTTACAAAATACAAAAGTACCGTAATTGTTTTACGCAGAGGTAGGAGAAGGTCCTTGTTCTGAGGAGATGCATGACAACACACTTAGAGGTGAAAGATCATGATGTCCATAACTTACTTTCAAAATAGTTTAGTAAAAATAATGTGTACATTGTTTAGGTATATTATTATATCACCATATGTTATTCTCTCCTGGACACCAAATGCAATGGTGTCTTTTTTTCCTACATATATGTATAACAATAATGACATCATACACAGCAGTAATAGTAGGATACCTTCATTCAGGTTCCCGGACCCAGTTCCAATGTGTATAAGTATGTGGGAGGGGGTCTTCCCACACATACTAACATCAAGCAATTCTCAAACACCATCAGGTGTTGGAGAACTCAACTCAGTTCTGATGGTATGTTCCCAGAGACAGCACCAGATTCCCAGGTTAAGGGAATCTTTAACCTTTAACCTCCATCCTACGAGACTGCCCTCCATCCCCAACTCCAGACACAGTCGCAAGCCCCAGGCAGTTACCCCTGCTTCTAACCTACCGGCTATAGATTGGAGGTTCCCACGACCTCCCCCTTAGGTTCGATTAAGGCTCACAGAACTCAGGAAAACACTTATGCTTACCAGTTTAATAAAGGATACAAGTTAACAGCCAGATGAAAAGATACAAAAGGGCAAGGTCCCAAATACAGGAACTTCTCTCCTGATAGAGCTTGGGGCCTGGCTTGGTGGCATGTGGAGGCGTTCTGGGTCCCCAAGCATATAAGCTCTCCAACTGAGAAGCAGGATCAACCAAGCAGAGCAGAGTGATAAGCTCCTCTCAGGGGCTTTTGTGAAGGCTGCACTGCACAGTCGTGATTGACTAAATTATTGGCCATTGGCTGATTCAGGGGTGGGGGTCCAAAAGTCTCTCATTAACATTACAAAATACCCATTTCACCTTTAAGACTCTGCAGTATTTTCAGGAACTGTGGATGAAGACTACATATACCTGGGGAATATATATTTGGTCATACACATGACCAAATATGTATTTTTTATGACCCATTATATCGCACTGTATTTTATGTATTGGAGAGATTGTGACAGACCACTGGCTGAATATGAGTGTAAGGTATATAGATAATCATTGTACTCTTTCAGCTTTCTTACATGCTTGAAAATTTTTCAAGTAAAATGATTGTGGGGAGTAGGGGGCAGGAAGGAGCTGGGAGAGATGAAGTCAGTAGGAGAAGGACTGAGAGTGAACATGGGCCAGTGGGTCTCAGAGTCTCTTTGACCCAGCCAACTCCACTTGGTGGTCTGGAGCTAACCCCTTCCCATTCCTGCGTATTGACTCGACCCAGTCTGGGAGAGGCGCCGCCTGGGTCTGTTTTGCTGGGAGCTGGCTATGGTCAGACTCACTTGCACTCAGTAGGCTGTGTCTTCCTCCCTCAGTGTGTAAATATGTTGCTGTGGAGCTGAAGTCAGCCTTTGAGGAAACTGGCAAGACCAGGGAGGTGATAGACACGGGCTACGGCATCTTGGACCGGAAGGCCTCCGGGGTCAAGTATACCAAGTCGTAAGTAAACAGAGGACCCAATGGCCTGGCCTGCTTTGTTCCTACAGGCTTCCGGGGCTTGGAGTGCCCTTTTCCCTTCCAGTAAGGCAAACCCACCAAAGGGAGGCAGCTCTAACCCATACCTGAACCTGCCCCCTGGTTCCGCCCCCGCCTAATTGTGGCCTTCCTAATCCTTTAACTCCTCTGGGCTGCAAACTCCTCATCTTTAAAAACAAGACTTTTGGTCCTTATCAGGGATTCCCAGACTCTTGGATTTCACAGACCAATGCAATTTCTAAAAATATTGGTAACATAAGATTACTTTTAATTTTGCCAGGTATAAATATTAAAAACAAAGCAAAAAAAAAGCACTCTGCCAGCTGCAATCGTCCTTTCAAATTGAACTGATACCATAACATCAAAATTTAGCACATCTACTTTATCTTTTTTTAAATTAAATATTGAATCATTTAGCTTTATAAAAAATTCCTTCCCATAGAGCTGTTAAAATTTTGTCTCTCTGGTCTGTGTTCCAGCATTTCAGAGCCCCCAGACCAGATGACCTATCTTCCTTCCAGCTCTGACTTCCCGTTGGTGAGATGTGCAGGTGTTGGGGTAGCAGGGCTGGAGGGACGGACCACTGACCCACTGGGGCTAGGAGGGGGACTCAGTCCCTCTCATGCTGCTGTCTCTGCAGGGACTTACGGTTAATTGAAGTCACTGAGACTATTTGCAAGCGGCTCCTGGACTACAGCCTACACAAAGAGAGGACTGGCAGCAACCGGTTTGCCAAGGTTGGACTGGGCTGGGGCTGGGCCTGCCCTTACCTAAGCGTGTCTGCTGGTATGGGGGCAACCTGAAGATGGTACCCTGGGAGCTTGCCTCTGTGGCCTCTTCCCATCTTTATCAATTCCTGTTTGCTTTCCTACCCTCCTGAGGGGCCTGACTTTTTAGCGGCAACAGACACATTTGTAATGGCTTGTGCCTGCCCATCCGGGTCTTGCCTCAGCCTTGGAAATGCTCCAGGGTGGTGGCTCCCATGGAGGCCTGAGCACTTGAACACAGGAGGAGCTCAGGATGTCCAGGACTATGGCGGGGCTAGAGGAGATACCAAAGTGGCAGGGGGCCAGGGGGAGATGGTGATTACCAGTCCCTCCCAGCTCACAGTTCCACCTTCCCAGACCTCCACCAGGGTGCCCGTGTGACATGTAATGCACTTACTGTGTACAGAAATGCCTCTCTCTCTGGAGAATGAGCTGCTTACATCAGGGCTCGTATTTCTTTGTTTTTACATCTTCAGTGTCTGGCATGTGGTAAGAGACTTGCCTCCCACATTTCTCTACCTAATACCCTTCTGGCAAAGCTGATCAGTTAGAAACCCCTGGGAAACCTAGAGGGATAGTCCCAAGCAGTAAAAGGCTTACATTTTATCTTTAAAGTTTGTGTCAATTTTGTACTGTACTTCATAATAAATCCACATTTGCTTTAATGTTAAAGTGTTATAAATTACTTTGTTACTTTATAGCAAAACAATTAGAAACAACCTAACCCATCATCAGTAGAGGAGTCATTGAATAAATTAATATGGCCATCAGCAGACTGTTAGGCAACTGTAAAATAAAGAATGAGTAGCTCTTTTTTGAATTGAACTAAAATTATCTCCAAGGTGTATTATTTAGTAAAAAAGTCAAGGTGCAGGACAGTGTGGATAATACATATATTAACATTAGTGTAAAAAGCAGGGTGGAGGAGAGGATATATTTGTATATGTATTTGCTTGTGTTTATGTGTATAATCTCTGGAAAGGTAGAGGAAATAGTATGTTGTCTCCAGGAGAAGACCTAGGTAGCTGGCAGGAATCTTGTTATAGACCCAAGAGTCCTCTCTACCTCACCTGTGCCCTCTTCCCACCCAGGAAAAACCAAGCCCATGGAAGAACCCAGAGCAAGAAGTAGGCGTGGGTTTGGGGGAGGGAGTGTGCCCAGCTACAGTGAGAGGAAAGAGTCAGACACACTGAGCTCCTAGAAAAGGGCCTGAGGACACCAGCAGACCTTTTTGAAGGGATGAGGTGTGGGGAGGCAGGACAGGGTGTGTGTGTGTGGAGGGGTTATAGGAGGCAGGCCTGAAAGAGGGGAGAGGACCCTAGGTCAAGTGTGAGAAGCCTGGTAATGTGTTACCCTTTCAGAGCTACGGCCTCGGACCGCCAGCCAGCCGGAGAGGAGGGTGGGAAGCGGAGAAGGGTCTCTGCCCCTCACGTCTGGTTCCTCTTGCAGGGCATGTCAGAGACCTTCGAGACACTACACAACCTGGTACACAAAGGGGTCAAGGTGGTGATGGACATCCCCTATGAGCTATGGAATGAGACCTCTGCAGAGGTGGCTGACCTCAAGAAGCAGGTACAGGCCCTCGGGCCCTCAGAGGCCGCTGTGCCCCAGGGGTGGGAGGGGATGGGGCTGTCGCTGAGGAACCCGCCAAGAGCTGGGGGACTTTGGTCAAGTCACTTCCTCTCTCTGGCTGCAGTCTCCTCTGGAGAATCATGGCCTCCCGCCTGTCTTGTGGTGGGTTGTGAGGCTTGGCTTGGCTCCTCAGGGAGCGAGTCAGTGCCAGGGCTTCGCCAATGCGAGGTGTTGTGATTAATAGTGCGACGTGCTGGTGGAGGAGTTTGAGGAGGTGATCGAGGACTGGTACAGGAACCACCAGGAGGAGGACCTGACTCAATTCCTCTGCGCCAACCACGTGCTGAAGGGCAAGGACACCAGTGAGTCTGAGCGAGGGAGAGGGCAGGGCTGATCGGCCCTTGGTTTTATTGTTTGCTCCCCATCAGAGGACAGAGAAGAAATAAGAAATAGAGGGCATTGTAGCATTTCTGCCCTCAGGGAGTTTGATGGGACAGGGTGGGTTTAGAGGTACTGAAACCAGGTACAGAACAACATGCAAGTAACTCAGATGCTCCCAGCAGAGCTTGGGAGCCACAGTGAGGCAGGAGGTAGGGTCTTGACATTGGGCACCAATCCCACCTGACATGCCCAGCCAGTGCTCCTCACCCCGCACCTCAGTCTGTTGAGGGTCTCTTTCTTCCTCACTCCAGGCTGCCTGGCGGAGCAGTGGTCTGGCAAGAAGGGGGACACAGCCGCCCTGGGAGGGAAGAAGTCCAAGAAGAAGAGTAACACGGCCAAAGCATCGGGTGGCAGGAGCAGCAAGCAGAGGAAGGAGCTGGGGGGCCTCGAGGGAGACCCCAGCCCTGAGGAGGACGAGGGCGTCCAGAAGGCATCCCCCCTCACACACAGCCCCCCTGATGAGCTTTGAGCCGGCATCCTCTGTACGGAGCCCCCTGACCTGCAGGCTGAAGAATCTGGGCAGGGCTCTGGCGGGCAGAGACAGCTCTCCCAGCCTCAGGCCCTCCCTGCTTGGCTGTGCCCTCTTGCTGCAGGGCAAAGACACAAGCCCAGGCAAGGACTCAGATCAGCTGGGTCAGCCCGCGCTGGCTTTTCCCTCTGCCAAGCTTCTCTTCTGACACAGGCTTCAGGCCGGCCATGCGGCGTCAGGCCTGCCGAGGACTCCAGTGTGGACTCAGGAGGGGCAGGTGTCGGAGCTGGGCCCCGGGACTGGAGCCTCTCTGGAGCCTGGGGTGGGGTCACATCTGGCCTTCACCTGCCCTCTCTCCTCCCCTGACAAGGAAGCCAGACCGCAGGCCCCCAGCCTCTCCTCTCTGCTCACCCCCTCCTGTGGACACCTCGTGCTCTGCCCAGCCCTCCCAGGGCTCACAGAGTAAAAACCTTTTGGCCTTTTTTGTTATGATTTCTGAGTCCCCTTCAGCCCTCAGAGGGGCCTGAAGCCCCCTCTTGCTCTTCCCTGGCTCACCTTCCAGCCCTGGGGGCTGAGGAGGAGGAGGCTGAACCCATCCTCCTGTTACCGAGGCCAGACCTGCCAACTGGGGGGAGCAGCAGGTGCCGGGCGGGCCCAGTTTGTTTTGGGGTGAGTTTTGGTTGGTTCTGGCTCTGCTCTCCACCACTCCTGGTTTCCCTGAGCTCCCCGGGCCAGGAGGGGCCTCACTTGTGCCCTGGACACCTGGTTGCCCTAATTCCCTCCCTCCCGTCTCTCCTCTCCCCCAAGGCCTCCCCATTTGTGTATAAAGTGTTCACAGCTTGCACCCCTCTGGCCCTCCACCAACAGCCGGGTATGTTGGTTGTGAACCTTGTTCCCTGCTGACCACACCTGGTCACTCTGCTCATCCTAACTGTTGGGCCAGGAGCCCCGAGGGGAGGACGCCCCCGTCCCCCAACAGCAGCTGGTTATACCACCTTCCTCAGGAGCAGGGGAAGAGTACCGAAGGCTGGCCTTTAGGGAGAAGGGGTGGGAGGCTCAGATAACCCCCCAGTCTGTCTGTCCTGAGGGCAGGGGGCAGGGATGGGGCAGCAGTGGCAATAGTGATGACAATTGCATGTGTTCACTGTGCTTTGACTTTAGCCCTTGCAGTGCACTCAGGGGTGGGTGCTGTTAGCCCCATTTTGTAGAAAAGGAAACAGGATTATCAGGCAACATGCTCTAAGTCCTGCTGTTAATAAGCTGGCACTCAGCTCTTGTTTTCACCCTCCAAGTCCATTGTGGTTCTACTACTCCACAGCTGCCAGGGCCCCTTTCCCCAACACCTAGCAGTGGTGGTATAATTCCTATTGAACTGGTTTGATTTCTTTGTCTAAACCCACCTCCACCAACAAGCCTCTTCTAAAAGGAAAATAGGAAGCAGCTGTTGCTTCTCAGAATGAGAGAATGGCTGAAGGTTGCCCAGGCCTGCACCCCCACCAGGTACCCTGTAAGTACCCACATGGAGGTGCCCCCTGCTGGGCCCAGTGGGTAGGAGGGAATACACCAGGCCCGTAAGCTGCTGATGAAGAGGCTCCAGGGTCTGAACTGGGGACCAGGGGCCCCCTGTAGCCTGGGCTCAGCCCCTCTTCCCTGCCCCCCAAGTTGGAACAGCCAAGCATAGAGAGTGGAGCAAACAAAAGTTTTTTTCCTCTGGCAAGTGAAGCTTTGAATAGGCCCTTGGAGGCTGATAACTTTTTTGGTCTAGCTGCCCACCTTCACAACTCCAGGACTAACACTGCCCCCTGTTGAAGGGTCTCTGGGCAGTGAGACTCCAGTATAGACTCAGGTCCCATCCTGGACTTTGTTCCCGTGCTAGAACTGAGCGCTGGGGAACCATTTGCAGCCCCCTGGACTGTTAGGATTTGGTGATCAGTTTCTGATTCCCCCATTTTGTCACTAACCATAGCACTTCAGTACCTGACATGTCTGTCCCCAGAGCTTCACTGGTCCTACAGTAGGATGGACAAAGGCCTATCCCCTACTGGGGTGTTGGCCCAGTGACCCAATCCAGGCCTAGTCCCAGACCAGAGGGCTGATAGCGCTGTGACTGCTTTTGCTCTTTGACCTGTGGCTGCCACATGGTGCCCTCTCTCCCCCCTGCTCCCCACAGGGCCAGGCATGCTGTGTCCTCACCAGCTGTCCACTCACCAGACAAGGCAGCCTCTTCCCTGGCCCAGCCTAGAAAAGGCGATGGCAGGATCCACATTGTCAGGTTTTCTTTTCTTCTCCCCACCACACATACGTGTCTTTTTTTTTTTTGGTATCATTACAATCACAAGAGGAACATTATGTTTACTAGACTCCCCCCATCACCAAGTTCCCCCCACATTCCCCATTACAGTCACTGTCCGTCAGTGTAGTAAGATGTTACAGAATCATTACTTATCTTCTCTGGGTTGTACAGCCCTCCCCGTGCCCCCCCATTATACATGCTAATCATAATGCCCCCTTTCTTTACCCCCTTCCTCCTTATCCCTCCCTTCCCACCCTTCCTCCCCAGTCCTTTTCTCCCTGGTAACTGTTAGTCCATTCATGTACCTTTTTGAACTTGAATATTGCCTCCCACTTCCCCACACCCTTTCCCTCCATAAGGTGAAGGGACTGACTGAGCTCATAGATTTTGCCCGATTCCAGTCCCTTTGTTAGGCACCCTATTAGAACAGGATTTCCTAAACTCAGCTGTACATGAATCCCTTGGAATGCTTGTTAAACAGAGATGTCTGGGCCCACTTCAGGGACCTAAGAGTCTACATGCTTAACAAACATCTGTCATGGTTCTTGATGAGGCAGCTGGAACCCATTTTGCCAGGAGAAGTGTAGGGTGTTATGCTGAGGGGGCAGGACCTCAAAGAAGTCACACTGGCAGGGTTTTGTCCTCAGAAACACAACTTGTCAGAACCCCAGAGGGTGTGTGTTTTTGTTGGAGACCATCCAGAACTACAAAGGCCAATGGACAAGCCAGGAGGCCAGTTTGTTCCAGTCCAGTGATTAAAAGAACCACGGGCCCTCAAGTCCAGCCTCAGGGTTTGGGGCTTTATAGTCTCAGAGGCAGCTGCATCATTTTAAAGGGCAGTTCCTAGGAGGCATGCTCCTCCCTTTATTTCCAAGTTCCAGGGTGGTATTTTTATGCAGCACCTTTTTGCAGGTTGGAAAATAATGCTCTTGACACCTTTACTTCCATCTGTCAAAAAGTTACTTTAATGTAAGTTTTTTTAGAATAAGACACCATCAGAATTCCTACCAGAAAATGATTTTTAAAAAAATACATAAACCCAGGAGGTCTATGATATGAATGGCAGCCCTTTAAATATAGAGACTTTGTGCAGTGCACAACCCGTCCAATGTTCACAGCAGCCCCGCATCAGTTTAGTTCTCAAGTGTGAGCAACTCATTTTTTGATCTTGAAAGACAGTAAATACGTTTTTTCACAACAGATGTATGGTCCATGCCTAGCTAGTTTATGGAAAGACTGTACTAATCCTGGCAGCAGAGCCACCTGATGGCCTACTTGGCTCTGTTGAAGAGTTTCACTGGAAGAGTAATAGTAGCCAGTTATTCAAGTGCTTGTTATGTGGCAAGCACAGCTCTACGTGCCTTATAGCACTAACTCATTTAGCACAGCTATAATCTCCACAAGGCTATGGATTTTTAAAAGCTTCATCGAAGCAAAATACATACACAGAAAAGTACGTGTAAGTGTATAACGCAGTTTTTACAAACACCCCAAGTCACCAGCACCCAGATCATGAAACATTAACTATCTCCCCAGAAACAGCCACCCCCCCAAAAAAAAAAAAACATAGATTTTTGTCTGTTTTACTGTTGTGGCCCTGGCGCTTAGTATAGTGTCTATCACATAGTTGTGTAATAAGTATCTCTTGAATGAGTGAAACACAGAAAGGTTAAATAACTGGCCCAGGGTCATACATTTAATGAGTGGCCCCACCAGGTCATGGGCTCAGGTGGAATGGTTTCAGTGTCCATAACGCCACAGTACCCTGCAGCTACAGCTTAAGGACTTAAGACACCATCCTCTAATGTGTCTCTCTTCTAGAAGGCAGACCAGCTGCAGTCTTCTATGTCTTCAGGGTTCACTATTGGGAGTGCAATTAGGAGTAAGTTAACCTGCAGGTCTTTCTCTGTTTTCAAAGGTTAAGGCTGTGTATAGCTTAAAACCAGCTTAACCCTTAATGCTGCCCTTAAGGGCTGGCTTCTCTTCAATTTAAGAGGAATCCATTTTTTTTCATTCTTTCTTTAAAATTGTACTATCTATTAAGGTTGTACAGGCCAACAGAACTTTAGACTTCCATTAAAATGATTGTGGTTCTGTAGAGGGAGGTGTTGCACTGAGAAGGATGAGACGCAGGCTGATTCCATCATCAGCTCCAGGGGTAAGTGACATCCATTACCCCCAACCCCTCTAAAATATAAAAAATTCTCTGTGCAAACCAGAACAAAACAAAATAGACACTCAAGAAGCCAGATGTTATTTTGTTAGGAATTACCCGCCAAGGTGGTGGTCTTGGTCTTGGTATTTTATTCTTTGTCACATCAAGATAGGATGGCATGTGCTAAGTCACCAGTTTCAAGGAGCAACCCTCAGCCTGTTATGAAGGCTCAAAGTGTATCCTTTTTCTGTGGAAGAAGAGTGAGCAGATTGGTATTTACCAAAGAGATCTTACTGGATGTTGGCCTACCTTAAATACTGGATGTTAGCCTACCTTAAAACTTCTTTTAACAAAGTGTGCAATAGTCAGAGGACCTCACCTCTTACACATTTGGTGGGCTTCTTATAGGTACACTAAGCTTAATAGTAATGCAGCCGCCATTACAGTGGTGTTCAGTGTGGTACAACCCACTGATATAGGGACCAATTTTTTTTTTATTTTTTTTATTTTTTTTTATTTTTTTGAGAGGGCATCTCTCATATTTATTGATCAAATGGTTGTTAACAACAATAAAATTCAGTATAGGGGGGTCAACGCTCAATGTACAATCATTAATCCATCTCAAGCCTAATTCTCGTCAGTCTCCAATTTTCTGAAGCATAACGAACAAGTTCTTACATGGTGAACGAATTCTTACATAGTGAATAAATTCTTACATGGTGAACAGTACAAGGGCATTCATCACAGAAACTTTCGGTTTTGATCATGCAATATGACCTATAAACAATCAGGTCAAATATGAATATTCGTTTGATTTTTGTACTTGATCTATATGTTGATCCCCCATTTCTCCTACTATTATTATTATTTTTATTTTTAATAAAATGCCGAAGTGGTAGGTAGATGCAAGATAAAGGTAGAAAACATAGTTTAGTGCTGTAAGAAGGCAAATGTAGATGATCAGATGATCAGGTGTGTGCCTATGGACTAAGTATTAATCCAGGCTAGACAAGGGCATCAAGACATCCACGGATACAGAAGATTTCTCTCAAAGCAGGGGGGGTGAGGTTCTGAGCCTCACCTCTGTTGATCCCCAAATTCTCACCTGATGGCCCCCCTGCGACTGTGCCTGTCTTAGGTTGTTCCTCCCTTGAGGAATCTTACCCGTCTCTGGCTAACCAGTCATCTTCCGGGGCCATACAGGGAAATGTAAAGTTGGTAAGTGAGAGAGAAGCCATATTGTTTGCAAAGGTTAGCTTTTTACTTCTTTGCAGATTTATGCCCTGTGGCTTCTATGCCCAGCACTTGTCTCAAGGTATCTTTACCACCTGGAGGAATTATGATACTCGGTAAATTCGATATGAGGCACGAATTCTATTTAAGGGTTGTAATTAGGAAGGAAGAAGAAAAGCTATAGATGTAGCATACGAAGGAAACTTGGGAGGATTGATTATTTCTTTGACATATCTTCTTGTATAGTACCTTAAGTATGTATAGGTTTTAAACTACTAATTTGCACACATATATTAACATAATAGGAATACGGTGACATAAACAAAGCAAATCTATAATTACCATCCATCTCCAGTGAAGCCAAGAAAACCATTTAGGCACCCTAGGCATTTGTGAAAATTTATCTATGATATGATGGATATTGTTATAGGGACCAATTTTACACTAATTTAACAGGACTTTATTAAAGCAGAATGAGTCTTACGTGGTTTATTTAAAAGTCCAAAAGGGATCCATTGTGACAAATCCATTAGCAGAGTCTGTGCAGATGGGTGGCTTCCCGCCCATCCCATAGTGTCCTGGCATTCACTCTGGGGAGACACAGCAGGAAAAACTTTTTTTCAGTGGCTTGGACTGGAGTTTGGAAATGCTGTTCCATCGTCTGAAAAACTAATTTCTACCTGTTCTGAATCGAAAACAGCCAGATGTCTTCCACTTGCAGTTGCTGTATGTATATATATATATATATACTTACATATACACATACACACACAAAGAGACATATGTATATATACATGTGTATATATATGTATGTATGTATATATGTATATTTCACAATTCTAGGGTTTGAATATGTCCTCTAATAGGAAGAGGAATTGTGCCTTGGAGTTTGTCCAGTTGCAGCCGTATTCCCAAGGTAAAATCTTTTTGGAAACATATCATACTTTTGGGGATGAAGAATTTAGTCTTTTCAGACAATTCCAAATAATCAGTTTTGCATATTAAAAATAGCTACCTATTCCTATTTTCAGTTACATCACATTTATTTATGTAAATTGATTTATACTCTGTGATCTTTTGTTTCATGGCCCAGGGCCTCAGATTTGTGTTATCTAAAATTCACAGGGACTAACAAATAAAGCAGTTTTAATATATTTCAGTGGGCACAGGACATGGAAGAACAATTTAGAGATGAAGGACTGCATTTACTTGGTACCTTTTGTAGTAATTAAAGAAGACTACAGTGATTAGATACAATTTTCTATCTAGTGAAATATCAGCAACATGTTCATGTAGAGAAGAGCTGAAATATTTATTTTGGGTGACAGCATCAATTAATAGAAAAATTCCTTTTGGAAAATGGTTTGATCATAATCATGCATGTGTTCACTCCCTTAGAAAATTGTGGGAGCATTTTACATGTTGGAGAATGATTAAACAAGTCGCAGCACATCCACTTATGTTTTTGAGAGTTAAAAGTGAAGGAAGGAAGGAAAAGAAGAAAGAGAGAGAAAGAAAAGGGAGGGAAGGAAAGAAGTGGGGGATGGAAAGCGGGAGGGAGGAAGGAAAAAGGTCCATGAAACTTGTGCACTATGATCTCCACATTTTCTTAAATATCTCTGGATGAGGAAGAAATCAAATAATGGACTTCAGAACAATAATCTTATCTTTGAAGTGGAAAGTACAATGAGAAGCTACTCACAACATATAATTTTTTTAAATCCAGCATTCGTATTATTTTTAAAAATCTTACTATAGTTCTGTGGGTAAAATTTTATATTTTTCAAAAGTAGTAAGCCTCAGGTGTAAATAAAACCAATTATTTAAATAAAAATCCTTATCAGTATATAGAGTATGGCCTTTAGCCTCCAAAGGCTACAAACCACCACAAAAATCTTATACAAATATTCAGGGAAAATGCAAACAACTTTGTTTTAAAACAGGAAAGAAAAAAAAGCTGAAATAATTTCTGGACAAGAAGAGAACTTCCCTGGGGAGGAGGTGAGGAATCATGTTACACCAAACCAGAAAGCGACTACTTAAATAGCTGTAAGTAGTATTTTTCCTTTTCTTTCCCCTAGGTAATTTTGTTTCTAGAAGAAACAAAAGAACAGACTTAACATACTTTTTCTGGAGTTAGTTTTATCAAACAGCTCCTAAATCTTTGAATGGCAATTCTAAATGAAAGGTTGGACAGAGATGTCTAAATTTACAAATCCATGCTTTGTCCCTAAATATTGAGACCCGAAAGAGTCTGGTAAACTTTATGACCTGTTGACTTAAATAAAGGCCAATTAACTTTTCAAATGTTTTATATCCAGCCAATCCATTTGTAAGTAGTGACAAGGAAGTTTTTTCCCTATCGTTTTGGTTGTTATTCTAATTTAAGATCATTCTTCATTTTTCTTCAAACTTATTAAGTGCATTTCAGAACTCCAATATGACAAAACTAAATAATTCAATAGGTCTGGATTCCCTTAAAATTCATTTCATAAGACCAAATTGTTACTTAACAGAGTTAACTCTCAGCTTCTTATAGTACAATAATTGGTTAATTTCCTTCTGATTTAGGGTAAAATCAATATTGTTTATTTTAAGTAAAGAACACATTTTCCTATCCAAAGAATAAACCAATTTTCTTAGAGAAGCCTCATACTTAAAAAAAGCCTACATCCTAGACAGAGGCCTTGATATTATGCATTAATGCAGGGACAGAGCACACAGATTGCTGCCCACACTGAGAGGATAATTCTTTTAGCATGAGATTTTTTTTCTCTAAAGCCTAGGAGTGGTCAAGCAGATCTCCAGAATATTCTGACAAGAAAACTCTGGGTCTACTTGCAGCTCCTCAGTACAGTGCCGTTCTAAGCCTGTTGCCAAAGACCTGTCTATTGGGTCCGCATCAGCACGAGACTCCATTACTTGGGCATGGAAAGGCCCATCTGAGGCATTCTGTGTGCTAAAAATAGAAGGTAAATAATGATTACAGGAGCTTTGGGGTTCCTCTAGCTCCCAAATTTTATAGATAATAAAAGGGTGGGAGGAGGGGAGGCTCCTTTGTTCTAAATTTCATACCTGCTTTTTCTGAAGCCAGAACAAACACAGGTGGGTAAGGCTGCTCTTGCTGTTTTGGGCTTCCTCCCAAGTGGTGTCCTCCTCCTGAATCCACGTCTGTCCAGGGTATGATCCTCGGAAGAGACCTTCTGCTTTGGGGCGGAAGGGTGGATGACCACTAAACCAAACTACCAGTTTATAATGTGACAGCAATATAATAGCAAGAGCACCAAGCCCTCCCACCTCTGACCCTGGCTGTCCCATCTTGTGGGCACCTCCCTGGAAAGCAGATAGTGTAGAAGGGTTCTGGGTTGGTGAAAAATAGGAAGACCAGACTCCGCCTTAGGCAACTCAGGGAAATGTTTGATGTGTCACCTACGCGACAGAGAGGCACCTGCCGCCCGGTGGGCTGGGTGATCTCTTGGGCCACAGCCGCTCCTGGACTGAGATGGCCAGACCAGCACTACCCCCAGACACTCCCCATCCGGCCCACCCCCAGCAGTCCTTTAGATATGCTAATTTCCTCCTTTGCTGGGGAAGGCCCAGTCCCGGGCGCTTAGCTCGGAGTGGGCTGTGAAGTGTCCTCTCCTCCTTTTCGACTCGGGTAGGGGTGGAATAGGCAAGTTCACGCTCCCCGCCCCCGGACTCCTCCCCGGTCCTTCAGCGACCTGCTCAAGTGGGCGCGACTCGGGTGGGGGGTGGGGTTCCTTCCCGCCTTGGGTTCCTCCAAGGGCTGGACCCTCAGGCCGGAGAGAAGGGCTTGTCCAAAACTGCGAGCCCCGCCCTCCCGGCGGCCGGGCAGCCTTGGGCCCAGAGCCCGGCAGGGGCGTGTCCCCGCGCTCACCTGCCATTGGGCAGGTGGGGCTGCGGCCGGGGGCAGGCGCCCTACAATAAATGCGGAGCGGGTGGCCGCGAAGCTAGGCGCGTCGCAGGATGGTGGACAGCGTGTACCGGACCCGCTCCCTGGGGGTAGCGGCTGAAGGGCTCCCGGACCAGTACGCGGACGGAGAGGCGGCGCGCGTGTGGCAGCTCTACATCGGGGACACCCGCAGTCGCACGGCCGAGTACAAGGCCTGGCTGCTCGAGCTGCTGCGCCAGCACGGCTGCCAGCGGGTGCTCGACGTGGCCTGCGGCACCGGGTGAGCCCGGGCGGGCGCCGGGTTGGGTGCCGGGGACGGTGAGGGGCCAGGTTGGGCACCGGAGGCAGCGGGGTGCCGGTGCGGCCCTGCTCGCGGGGCCGCAGGACCCCATCCGGGCACGTCCGGGCAGCCCCCTCCGCCGACCCGGAGCCGGCACGCCAGGGCTCGGAGTGCGTGTCTGCCTGGGCAGAACGGGTGAGGCCAGCGGGAGGGGGCCGCGAGCCGCAGGGCGAGAGCGAGGGTGTGGGCACAGTGGGGTGGGGCAGGAGGATAAGCCAGCGCCGCGCAAGAGCCAAGCTTTGGGACCAGACCAATTAAGCGCACATCTAGGCTCCAGCATCACTCCCCATGTGATGGCCTTGGGCAGCGTTAACAGTTAACATTTGTTCAATATTTGCCCTGCCAAGTGCTGTGTCAGGAGCTTTTGATGCACCAGTTTTTAAAAACCTCATAAAACCCCGCGAGGTGAGTAGTAAGATTCCATTTACAGTTGTGGAAGTTTGGGGGGGGGCATTGTGGAAGTTTGGGGGTGGGCAGAGGAGTAGAACTCCCCCATCTAGTGGAGAGAAGAAGACCCAGGTTGATTAGGGTCTGGGCCTGCGCTGTAAACCACCAAGCTAGCTAGCCTACTACCTCCTGTGCACTAGTTACTTGACTTCTAGGAGCCTCAGTTTGCCCCATCTCTCAAATGGGAACAACCATGGACCTCACAGGATTATGCATGAAGATTAACGCACACCTGTAGTGCCTGACTGTGAACAGGTGCTAAAAAACAGATACTGCTATCTATCTGATGATAAACAAATTTGCCAGGTCATTTGAGGTCAGTGGTGAGGGCTTGGGAAGAGGAAGCAGAGAGAGTTTAGGAGACAGAAGTGTCTACATCGGGGACATCCGCAGTCGCAGAGGCCCAGGGCCTCTTCCTTGCCTTCTCAGGCCTCCCTGATTGCCCCTCTCTGCCTCTCACCCTTGGACCCGCCCAGGGTGGATTCTATCATGCTGGTGGAAGAGGGCTTCAGTGTGACAAGCGTGGATGCCAGTGACAAAATGCTGAAGTATGCACTTAAAGAGCGCTGGAACCGGCGGCACGAACCCACCTTTGACAAGTGGGGTATGCAGGTCCAGCCAGGCCTCCCAGCCCAGCCCTGCTTCTCTCTGCCCTGGGCTCCTTTAGCTCCTGTGGCGGGCGTTTTGTCTTCCTTAAGGGGATAGCAAAATCACTGTCATTTCCCTGAAAAGGGGGCTTAGGCACCAGAATGAGGTATTGGGTATAAGGAGCTAGTTTTAATTATGCTTATACTGTCTTGTCCTTACCCTCAAATAAAAACCTGTAAGAGCAGAGCCCTCCTTCCCAACCCTGACTTCCTTCTCCCTTGACCCTCTTTCCTTTTCACCCTCCATGTCCATAGTGATGCCCTTCCCCCTAACTGGATGGGGAGTCCCTGTGTGTGTCTTGAGGGGGAAACCAAGGCAGGGCTGCCCTTGGTGGAGGTGGGTACTGCCTGTACCATGGTTCCACCCTGATCCCTCTTCCCTTTCCTGGTCCCCAGTCATTGAAGAAGCCAACTGGATGACTCTGGACAAAGATGTGCCCCAGCCACCAGCAGGTGGCTTTGATGCTGTCATCTGCCTTGGAAACAGTTTTGCCCACTTGCCAGACTGCAAAGGTGAGAGGACGTAGCGCTGGGCATGGCTCTGGACTGTAACCCTTTCCACAGACCCCTGTAGACCTGCTGTCCTGCCAGAACAGACCTTACTTCTTGCCCCTTTCTGTCTGGGCACTGGCACCCCTGGGGAGGAAAAAGATGGGGGGGAGACGGCACTGGGGGCCCTGAGCAGACACAGTCATTCTGCCCCTGCCTGGAGCTCAGGGGACCAGAGTGAGCACCGGCTGGCACTGAAGAACATTGCAAGTATGGTACGGTCAGGGGGCCTGCTGGTCATCGATCATCGCAACTATGACCACATCCTCAGCACAGGGTGTGCACCCCCAGGAAAGAACATCTACTATAAGGTGGGGTCCCTGGGGGAGGGAGGGCCCAGAGTGGGAGGTGTGATCCTGGGGTGGGGCCCCACAGTGGATACAGAGGTTAAGCAGCCCGTATCACCACCTACAGAGTGACTTGACCAAGGACATCACGACATCAGTGCTGACAGTGAACAACAAGGCCCACATGGTGACTTTGGACTACACAGTGCAGGTGCCCAGGGCTGGCCAGAACGGTTCTCCTGGCTTGAGGTACACATTTGGCTAGGCATAGGGTGATGTGTCAGGGGTAGGGGGGGGCATGCTGAGGCCACCCGTCCTCATGGTTGGTCGGGGGCTCTATTTCAGTAAGTTCCGGCTCTCCTACTACCCACACCGTCTGGCATCCTTCACAGAGTTGCTCCGAGCAGCCTTTGGGGGCAAGTGCCAGCACAGCGTCTTGGGCGACTTCAAGCCTTACAATCCAGGCCAAGCCTACATTCCCTGCTATTTCATCCACGTGCTCAAGAGGATGGACTGAACATGCCTCAGCCCCCACAACCCTCTGCCCTGGCACTGCCAGCTCTGGGGGGGGGGGTGGCACCGGCAGCCCCACACCAAGCCCAGCCCCCAGTGCAGATCCCCACAAAGCTGGGGTGCAGGGATTGGGTCTAGGCAAATGGAGGGTAAACAATATAGTCTGTGCCTTTATCAGTTTCTGCATGCTTGTGTTTATGTCTGAAGGTTCTGGCTCCTTGGTGCCCACCCTGCCCTCCCCTGGGGCTTCTTCCTCCCACAATCTTGCTCTTCCCCAATCCAACCTTTCAGACCACACCACCAGTAGGGGGCAGCATAAACTTTATTTTCAGCCAGTCTGGCTCCCCTAGGGCCCAATGCCAGGCCTGCCCAGTTCTCCTGAGCAGATGGGCCGTATTCCTGGAGTTGGCCTGGATGGATAGGTAGGCAGCCTTCAGGTGGGTTGGTGGCAGCCTGAGAAAGAGCCTCTTGCTTCTCAGGTCTGCAGGGGTACTAAGGTACCTTCAGCCTCTGAGGGTGGGGTCCTGAGCTGCCAGAGGCTCCTAGCAGGCCGCAAACTTGCGCTGGATGCGCTTGTACCGCAGCAGCTCCTGCTCACTGACTGAGGGCTGCAGCCGGGCGGCGGCCTGCAGCAAGTCGTCCATGGTGAGTAGCAGTACTGAGCTCCCAGGCTCCCGCCCTGGGGAGACAGGGGCAGAGGCTATGGTCTGTGCCTAAGCAGGGGAGAACCCTGGCGTAGGCACCTTCTTGCCCAAGTCCCCAAAACACCAACAAATCCATCCTCTGAAATCCAGAATCGAGCCTGGTTCCTACTAGTTTTGGTTGGCCTCTGGGCCTGGCAAGTGGCTCACCTTCTTCTAGGTCCTGAACCTTGCGTTTGAGGGCAGCTGTCATGGCATCAGAGCAGAGGGAGTAGAGGTCTGCACCTGTCAGCTGGGGTGGGCAGTGATCTAGCACAGTCACCAAGCTCACAGATGGCTCTAGCTTGAATCTGTTGTGAGGATACAGGAAAGATAATTTTACCTGGCAACCCCTACTCCCTCAAAAGGCATCTGAGCAGCTTATTCTGTACATTGCACTTATCCCCTAAGCAGCTGGAGGCCCAAGCCCTTGGGAGTCTCCCTATAACAGGGCATACTTGCGTGTGATGGCGCTCAGAACACGTAGCTGGGAAGCACGGTCCTCACTCACCCCCACAAACACCAGCTTGTCAAACCTTGAGAGAGAGGCAGGCATAAGTGTCAGGGAGCACAGCATGAGGGTGGAGGAGGCAAGGGATGAGGGTCGAGGGAGAGGTACAGGGTACACACCTCCCAGGCCGCAGAAGGGCAGGGTCCAGGAGGTCTGGTCTGTTGGTGGCTCCGATCACAAACACATCCTGAGTGCTATGAAGCCCATCCAGCTCGGCCAGGAGCTGAGACACCACCCTGCGACGAAGGAAGTGAAGGCGAGAGATCCTTGGCCCCTCCACACTGCTGGTGGTGCCTCTCCTTGCAGACCTCTCCACCAGGTCCCTGGCTCAGTCGTGGCCTGTGCCTTTCCATGCAGGCGCCCATTCTCCTCAATGGCCCACCCCCAACTCCACAGCCCCTTTTAGCTTCCATTACACCAGCTCAGAACTGGAAGGGCAGCAACTCTGGGCTCTGATGATTACTGCAGCCTATCTCACATCCCCCAGTGCTGGACCCCAGACTCCATTCTGGCTCAGACCCCCACCTGTCCATCACACCTCCTGAGTCTCCACTTCGCCCCCGGCTTGGGGCCAAGGAGTCCAGTTCATCAAAGAAGATAATGCATGGAGCCGCAGCCCTGGCCCTGGCAAACACTGAGGAGAGAGAGGGGCCCACAGGATGGGGAGGCTCAGGGCAGGGTGAGGTCAGGGAGGAAATTCATCACTAGCACTCGGGGTATGAGGCCTTACTGGGCAGGAACCTAACTTGAGCAAAGCAAGACAAGGAAGGACCATGAGCAGCCTGAGGCTCCAGCCAGGCTGGAAGCCCCGCTCCTTCTCACTCACTCACCTTCCCGTACATTCTCCTCACTCTGTCCCACATACATGTTGAGGAGCTCAGGCCCCTTCACACTGAGGGAGAGGATGTGAGAGGGTGCGACTCGTCAGAAGCATGAGCACATGGCTGACCTCTCAGCCAGCCCCCCAGCTCCCCAGCCTCTCCAGCCCCCTGGCCACCTGAGGAAGGTAAGGCTGCACTCAGTGGCTACTGCCTTGGCCAGGAGGGTCTTGCCGGTGCCAGGGGGACCGTGGAGCAGAAGGCCCGAGCGCCTCAGGCCCAGACTCAGCAGCTCAGGGTGCTCCAGAGGGAGCTGAATGGTCTCCAGAATCTCCTTCTTCACCTCCTGCAGCCCACCCACGTCGTGCCAAGACACTGACGGGATCTAGATGGAAGGTGCACGCAGTTGGGGGTATGCTGGAGGGAGCTCTGGCCCCACATCCAAGGACCTGGAGTCCTCACCTTAGGTGCTCCTACAGCCTGGGAGTGGGCCGTGTGCAGCTGCTCCAGCGCCTGCCCGAAGTCCTCAGCCAGGAGAGGAAAGCCGGCAGCACACAGCTCCCCCTCATCCTCCTCACTCAGGCTGCCTGCCAAACTGCAAAGAGAAGCCCAGGGACGCCTCTCGGGGACCTGACCTAAGGCCTCCCCTCATCAGGGTCCTGTTCCCCTCTTTCTCGCCAGCCCCACCCGTCCTCATTTCCTCTTGCCCTTCCTCCTCCCTGCTGTGCCCAATTCCTTACCCTGAGTTCCTGATCCTGATGCAGGCTGCCCGGCTGCTGTGGGTCAAAAGGGCATAGAGATCCCCTACCACAAAGCCCTGGGAACCACAAGAGAAGCCCCGTGAGCAGGAGCAGTAAGCAGGTCCCAACTGAGCAGAGCCCCCATGTCAATATGCTGGGTTCACCCCCCTTGCCTGCAGGGTGTCAGGACTGAGTTCCCATAACAAAGAATGCGGGGAGGCCTGCCCCACCTCAGTACTCACTGCACACCGCCGTGCCAGCTGGGCCAGGTTCACCTCCTGGCCCAGGAGGAGGTGGGCAGTGAGGGCCCGCAGGATGCTCAGCCGCTGCGCCTCTGACAGCACAGGCACCTCCAGCTCGTGAGGAAATGCTGTGTGCACGTCAGCAGGCAGGTCCTGGGCCCGGCTGGTGGTGGCCACCACCATCAGGGGGGGACAGCTGCAGACAGGCAGTGGGCACAGGGCGAGAATGTGGCTGGCGGCCGGGCATTGTCAGGCTGGCACAGGAGGGCAGGAGGTGGGTGGGTGTTAGGGGTAGGATGATGAGCACCCCAAAGCTTCCTGGATCGGGCTCCATGGGAATACCTTGAGAGGGTGTGGGAATATTTGTCTCCCTCACACGGGAAGCTCACTGAGACCAAAGGGTATGCTTTTTTTCCAACCTACTGTTCCTCAAGAAATACTAGGGACCGTATCCTCCCTCTGGATACCCCAAGCTCCTCAGCTCAGGGCTGCCTGGAGAGTAGCCATGTGGGCAGTAGATGTCTGAGAAGCCACTGAGGAAGACAGGACACGACATGCAGAAGAGGCAGACAGGCTTGGCCAGCCCCCTCACAGGCCCAGCTTGGTGTAATACCTGGTGAGGGGGTCCTCATCGAGGAGGAGGTGACACAGCGTGGCAACCACACGGGCATCCTCACCTAGCCCGTCACGGTCCCGGCCCAGAAGGTCCACGGCTGTCAGCAGCAGAACCACTGGGCGGCAGTGCTGGGCCCTGGAGAAGGCGGCCTGCAGTTTTGTCTCCACAGCCCTGCTACTGTCTGCACAGAGACTGGAGCAGGGCACCTGTGGAGTGCGCCCAGTGAGCCTGTGAGCAAGGGGCCTGAGTGACTGAAGCAGGAGTCAAGATACAGGCCATCATTTTTTTGCAGGGCAGGGATGGGGGAAGAAGGTAACACTGGCCAAGTCCTGCCTCTTTACCCCAACCTCATTCCCTGGGCTGTCTACCCAAATCCTGAAACTGTCCTTCTTGAAAGCGTCTCTTGAGCTGAGCATCATGGGACTATGCCTGATTCGCTGGTCCCCTGGGCTGAGGTGTTAGGGCCAACTAAGAGCGGGGAGGGGAGATGGAGACTCTGGGCTGGGGAGGACACACAGCTGGTGTCCTTTGCAGGTGCTCTTACCTTCAGTAAGTGGAGCCCAAGGCGCCTACAGGCAGCAGTGACTGCTGTGGTCTTCCCACTGCCCGGGGGACCCCGCAGAAGGACACTGCTAGTTCCTGTCAGCAGGGCACCCCTGCAATCAGAGAACAGACACTGGGCTCCTCTATTCTGCCCAAACTTGAGAGTTCCCAGTTACATAGGGACCCCTGGAGGTAGGAAGCAGACACCCTGGTTCTCGCTCCTTGAGGGCCGCCTCTGCATGGTGAGGCCTGTTTCCCACACCACCTGTGGTGCTTTGGCAGGGGCATGGAGTATATCCAGCAGTGGGGACTAATTCCATTTTATTATCACTGCCTTCGATAAAGCTTTTAACTGTCATGTCTTATCTGGATTGTAGTGAGAGGAGTTAAGGCAGGGTCTGTGTCTACACTTAGACAATGGTATGAGGAACGGTATCTTTGGGGACCAGATGGCTAGGGGGCTCCCCAAGGAGAAGGGCAGTCTCAGACACAGCTGTTCCTGGTGGAGATTCTTCCTCCACAGCCAAGCTTGGAGGACAGAGGTTACCCCAGGAAGGGAGCCTGGGACTTTACTTACAGAAAGGGCATACAGGCTTGAGGGAGGTACACCCAATCCCGCTCTGGCCAGGGCATTAGGAACTACTTATCTGGCCTGCTGCCCCTCCAGGAGATATTCCAAGCAGGCTTTTCTCACATTCTGAGGCTGCGGCTCACTCACCCTGGCTGGAGGCGAGGCTTCAGGGCAGCACAGATCTCGGTCACCAAGGCCTCCAGGCCTGGAGGAGACAAGCTGTTCCAGGGAGTAGATTCTCCTGAAGGGAGCCTTGGAACAGGGCTCAGGGTAGAACCCACCTGTGAAAAGTGGGAGGAAGCTTTAGTTTCTAGAAGCTGTTTCTGCTCCTTCCCCCAGGTCTACTCCAGCCCCCCAGGCCTCTCACCAAGTACAAGGAGGTATGGGTGGTGTCGGCCAAGTAGGCACGGGCTGGCCCATCTGGAGCCTCCCCAACTGCTCTCTTCACTTTAAAAAACATCTCCCACCACCTGCAGGAAAGAAGCCCAATGAGTCCCAGATCCAGAGCCCACCTACAACACTCCCCAAGGACAGGTGGCGGTGTCAATCCCTGAGCTCCCCTGCACGGGCAAACTCCAGAGCAGCACAAACAGATGCTCCCGACATAGTGGGTAAGGGGAAGCGGAGTGGGTGGAAGGAAAGCTGGTGGTCTTTCTTCTCTCCTTGATGGGATTATACACATTCTGAGGGTAGGGGCTCTGCCTGTCTTCTGCATCCCTCATGACAACCATCAGAGAGCCTGGGGGGTGCTTCTCCAGGTAAATGGCCGACCCACCCACTCCAACAGGAGAGGTGGCTGTTGTGCCAAGCTAAGCAGTCATCAACTGACCATCTTCACTGGCTTCAGAATAGTCTAGTCCAAACCTCAGATGGAAGGGTCTCTTGGCTGTTTCTAATAATTAACAAAATTTCATTGAGGCAGATTCCTTAACAGTAACATCTAATGATTAATGATTCTGTTTTGGCTGCATATTACAACTATCAATGAAACTTAAAAAAAATCAATCTCTCTCACACATTGCATCATTCTATTCAGCAGATCAGTGGTTCCTAGGGGCTGAGGGACAGGGAGTAGAGAGGGCATGCTAATGTTAGGGGGTTCCTTTTTGGGGTGATGGACATGTCTTGGAATCAGGTAGTGATGTTGGTTGTGCAACCTTGTGAATATACTGAAAGCCACTGACCTCTACACTATAAAAGCATGAATTTTATGTGAATTATATCTCAATTTAAAAAGACCATTTTTCCCTCCTTTGGGAAAAATTAAAAGACTATACAGGCCCCAGCTTTACCCTAATTCTGTTCCAACAGGTTGGTGGGGGTGGTGCTCAGGTATCTGTATTTTTTTAAAGCTCCCACAGCCATAACCAGGGCTGTGTGGTCACTGGCTAGTGTCAGAGTGAGTTAAACCTACTAAGGGGACAAAGGGTGGGAGCAGGTAGGAATTACTAGCCCAATTTCCCAGATAAAGAAATTAACTAGTCATCGCATAGTCACAGAGTGGAAAAGGTGGGGCGGGAATGCCTCAAGATGGCTGGGAGAAGCACAGCAGGTTAGTAGTAGTACAGTAGGCAGTGTCTGGGGTAAGAACTAGAACATAAGAAAAACTGTCTGTTATTCATTATAAATAAACAATGGGCAGGTCTATAACCTAGAATCTCAATCAAGCTGAACATACTGAATTAGAGTGCACATTCAAGCCCTGGTATCCAAGGCAGAACAGCACTGTGGCTGGGGCGTGGGGAGGTTAGGGAGAGACGCCCCCTTCCGCTGGACCACCTGAGGGAATACAAGGGCCAGAGCTCTGGAACAGTATCTGGACACTGCTGGGCAACACTGGGTTGTGTTCCAGAGTACCAGATGGGAGGCAGGGGAGCTGGAACCTATCGGCCTGGTTTGGAAGCGGAACACAGGTGAGAACCTGCAGAGACTCTGCTACAAACAGAACTCCTTTCTAGGGGTCACAGGAGCCTCCCTTCCAAGTCCAGGGGAGTGGGGCTAGAACATTCATCTCCATCTGTCCTTGCTCACCTAACCCTGCTTTCCAGGAGCTGCTCAGGGGGAATAACTACGAGCTCAGCACCCAGAGGAGGGAGGCAGTTCTCTACAAGGCTAGAATGGCAGAGGTAAGGAACAGAGCTGGCCTGCTGGTCTCTCTCAGGAGGGCCTAGCGCCTGTCTTCCTTTGAAAGTACAAATGATGGGCATCATCCTTAGTTTTCCTACAGAGCACTAGTTCATAGACATTTGCTATATGTAAGAAGGGAGACAGTAGTAGAAAGTGACTGATATATGCCAGCCTGGCATTTTCCACCAGGCTCCAGATGTAGATTTGACATGGGAAGACTCAGGAGGTGCCATGGAACACGGGGCATTACCAAGCCCGTCTTCTGGGTATCAGAGCCCTGGGCCTGGGAAGATTGAGCACTGGCTCAAACTAAGCTCTGAATGATGACCAAGGATGAATCAGGCACTTCAGACAAGGCATGTCTTTGGCAGAGGGCCCAGGCTAGTTATTCTAGAGACCTTGGGTACGATGGCTCTTATGTCCAAGTTCCTGCAGGCTGGTCCTACCTTGTCACTGAGAACTCCCTGAAGGTTGCATTAGTGTGTCTATCAGTTGTGTTCTCCTTCCAGTAAATCGTTACATGAAACAAGTCCTAGGTATGAGGCTATCTATGGTCTCTGAATTCTTTGCCTCACTATTGTGCATGGAACCTCTGTGGTCAGAGTCAATAGGAGGAGGAGAAAGGCTGACGCCTTGATTTGGGTTCTTGGTTTAGATATGCTCTATTTCTCATTCTCTATTGAGGAAAAGGGAAGAGAGAAGGCCTCCCAATGACAGGTGCAATCCCTCTCTCCCCACCTGTGGGAAATAGGATTGAAAAACAGTATGTGCGCACTCCATCAATTCGGGCAGAAATCAGAGCCCGGGTGTCCTTATGCTGAGTATACAGTAGGTATGGCCCGAACAACACTGGGGGTGAGAATGGAAAGCAATGAACTCCACCTTGGTCTAGGCCATTAAACTGTTCTTAGTGCTTTACTTTACCTAGGACCCCAATCAATTTGAGGATAAACACCTCCCAAAGCCAGCAGGCAGTGGTTCTTAATCTTTTCCCAGTCATGCATCTATTTGAAAACCTGAAAAAGGTATATACCTTCTTTCCAGAAAAATGCATATGACAATAAAGTGTTCTGATGCACAAGACTATTCCATACAACTTAGGGGAATGGGGGTCACCAAACTCCACCACCCAGGTTAAGAATCCCAGCTGTAGGATAGGAAGTGGCTGCATACCTGGGCAGTTTCTCTGGGCTTCCTTCCAGGATCTCTACTTGCCCAATTGTTGGCACACACAGAATGTCCCCTTCCTGGACTGTCCTGCAACACAGCAGTGGCCCGGGTCAGCCACATTGGGGGTCAAGAGCATGGGCCTGACACATCCCCACACCCAACATGCAGACTACTTAGGGGACCTTCTACCCACCCAGAGAGCCACACGGTTGTCCAGAGGACAAGTCTGACCTTGAATGAGCTAAGGGATGGCGCAGAGCCTAGAAAGGGGGATCAGAGGCCAGTGAGGGGTGAAGCAGGATGCTGGCTCTTTTCGGGCCTTCTCAAATCAAAGGGGTCTCTCAGTTTAGAATGTCCAGATTCACTTCACGGTCCAGATATCTTTTCTGTTGTCTGCCTGGTACACCAAAAGGCTTCTAACCACAATGCTGCCTAAAAGGTGGCTTTTTTAAAAATTAGAGGTTCTGTGGTTCTGAACCTAAGGCATGGCGTAGGAGGAGAGCAACAAGGGTGAGAAGCTATCCTCCTGAAAGGGGTAAGCAGCTAACCTGGGTGTCTGAAAGTGTTGGTAAAGTACATGATCATAATTTGCATTAGTGCTGTAGTGGGGAGAGGACACAATTTCGACGTGTAACTCTTTGGCAAACAGAGGTCCAGGCAGCACTGAGCAGCTTCCTTTGTCTTCAGGGGCGTTGAAGCCTTCCAAGTACCTCTAGAGAGAAATAACCAGCACTTTATAGCCTTCTCCCAAGGAGTCGGGCTCTGCCCTCTCAGCAGCCAGTATTTCTACTTTCATCCTCTATTCTTCCCATGACCACAAGGTTCATGGGAGGGAAGGCATAATGTAGCAGAGACGAATACCTATATCCTCCCTAGAAAACAGAAACCTCTCCTAATGTGCATCATTAAGAGGTTTCTGACTCACTTTGCTGATGCTAGCTCCAAAAAGTTGCCCAGTAAAATAATTTTTCTGTGACACCTTTTATTGCCCAGTGCAAGTAAAGTGGTAAAGACACGTAACTCCCACTAGTTCTTTGAAGGACATCAGGCAACCATTGGGACTGATATTAACTGGACATCAGTGGGGACACTCTGAATTTAGGCTGCTGGAAAAGCATATGTACTCCCTGAAGTCAAAAGGGTTGGTTCAGCTGAGTGGGCACCCACCTGAGCACTTCAGTAGCTTTTTCTCCATTCAGAAGAAAATCCACACCCAACTCCCATTCATACATATCTTCTATCTATTCTTGACATCAGAGAGTACTAACTGGCTATGCCTGCATTATCTAATAGAACTTTCCAACAGTGACAGATATGTTCTATAATTTACATGTCTATTGAGCACTTGACATGTAAAAAACGACTACAGAACTGAATTTTTAACTTTATTTAGAAAGAGCCATAAAATTGCTTCCATACTGGACAGTGCAAGCCTAATCCATACATCTAGGTACTTTTTAATTAAAACATTAGACTGTATTTGCTCCCCAAATACAATTATCTTCTTGAAGTAAGCCCCTCAAAGACAGACACCAAAAATTCTCTTAGATATATTTAATAAAATACTAAAATTAAGCACCAGGCACTAAAGATAATAAAGAGCATTCCCTTCAAGGAAATTACAATATATAATTGAAGATTAAACAGATTACATAATCATAACAAGGCAGAATAAAACAAATGCCCTAAGAAAAATACAAAATGCTATAGGAGGAGGGAGTCATGTTAAATTTGTACCAGTGAGATTATGTTGGCTCTGAGAAGAAGATGGACATTGAAGGGAAGGGTGGTAGGACTTCAACAGATGACAGTATGCTAGAATAGAAAGGACTTTGAAGTCAAGAATAAGCATGAGCAAAAAGCACTGCAATGTCATCTTCTATATTAAACAGCAAATACTGAGAACACTGGAGCAATCCAACAACTGATCAGATAGATTGAGTAGATTAGTATATATACCTGGTAATTTGACTGTGAGTCTGACCTTTCACTTGAATAGATGGAAGCCCTTCCCATGTATCACCATTCTATGGAGGATTGTGATATTTTGATTATACAGAATGGATAGAGCTAACAGACCTTAAGTGAAAAGTCCAACACGTAGTGAGTAAAGGGCCGAAATTCTGCAGCACTTATTTTCCAATCCAGTTAAGACAAAGAAGAGGGGATAGGGAGAAAGAAGTATTCCTGACTTCAGTCCTGTATCCTACCTGAATTCTGAGCTCTCCCACTTCCGGGGAATCACAGCCGAGATTAAAGGCCAGAGTGGCAGGCACGAGGGCCAGTCCGTCGACGAGGGGCTCTCCCAGCTGCCGAGAGCCAGGTCCCAGCCTTTCAGAGAGGTCCCAGCGAGGCTCTAGGACCTGCACCGTGGCCAGGTGTGGCTGAGACGTATTCGATGACTCTCCGGCCCGGGTCACCCACACCCATTCGCCCTGGAAGAGGCCGAGGCTACGGAGACAGCTCCGGCTCACCCCGAGTGAATCTCCAGTCCCTCCCAGAACTCCCCGGAGTCGCCGGACTGTACGCGACACTGCAAAGAAGGACACCACGGGCGGAGGTGGGGGCCGGTTGCTGTCCCCAGTCTCCAGACCCACTCTGGCCCGCCCACGGAGCTCAGTCACAGCTAGCCGCGTCCCTGGGCCCAGCAGCCCTTGCAAAGCCGGCCGCGTCTCCAGCACCCGCGGTCCGGGCACCGGCAGGGCCTCTCCGCGTCTCACCAGCAGCGGCCCTACTCGCGGCCCGAGCCCCGACCCTGAGCAGGTGCCAAGCAGCGCCCAGCTCAGCGCCGGAGGCCGCCGCACGGGCCGCGCCCGCACCCACGCCCCGGAGCCCAGAGCCAGGAGCCGCAGCAGCGCGCGGCTAACCAGCAGCTGCGGCGGCCCAGGATCTTGCTCTTCGGTCCCCGCGCCCGGCGGCTCCAGGGCCGCCACTAGCAGCGCTGGCCCTGCCGGGCTTTCCCCTGCAGGCCGCAGGGCCAGCACCAGACCCGGCCCCGCCGCAGGCCACGGGCCCCCGGGCGGCAGCAGCACCGACAAAGGGGGTGTCTCGGTGGGGAACGGCTCCAGGATCCGCAGGACGGCCAGCGCCATGATGACAGGGGACCTGCAAATACGGTGAGGGAGTGCGGCTTCCGGAGCGAGAGAGCCGCGCCTCGTTTCCGCTTCCGTCGGGGAGGCGTAGGGAGAGCGGGAGGGGCGTCGGTGCAGGGAGGGGACCCTTGGGAAGTGAATTGCGCTTGGATGGATCAGGATTGTACCTCGATGGCAGTAACGCCGTCACTACGGTTGCGTAGTCTTTACTCAAGAGCCTTTTGAGACTAGACTGGGTTTTCAGATTTGCCTTCCGCGCCTGCCAGGGAAGAACTTCCTTTCGACTACCCTTCCCCACAGCATGCACTTAACAGTTTATGGAATATTCAATGAATGGTCAGCAAGCCCCGGACTAACTCGGTCCAGTGATGGGAGGCTGTGGGTGGAATGTTTAGGACGGTCCAGTCCTCTGTGGAACTCTTAACCGTTCCCGCTGTGGAACTGTAGGCAATGAGATTTGGGGTTTGTGAGAAAGGTTGCAGGAGGAAATGGCAAGATTATCAAACTGTCTCAATGGTGCTTATCAGTATGGAGTGTCTGCTGGCTGAATTACTACATATGATTCGGGTAGCTCTGGGGTGCTTGGTGCTGCTGCACCTGTTCTAACACATCCTACACAAAACCCACGTTCCAGGGTTTCTTGTGTTGTTCATTCTACTTCCACCAAATATGAAGCACAGACAAAGCAGTTTTACTTTGCTATCCCTCCAAAACCAATTGATCTCCCCCTACCAATGCTTGCACACTGGAGACCCATTTCCTGTTTCTACCCTGAAGATGGGTGGGGAGCAGAGCAAGCAGAAGAGAGGAGTTCAAGACTTCAGTCATGAGCACTGTAAGAAAATAGTAATTTATCCTCCATTTGCCCCATGGTCCCAAGCACATAAACTGGTGAGAATTACATCTGGGGCTTGCCTGGGTTTACCCCGCCTTATCTCTAAACATCCCGACCCTCCCCCAAAGCAACAGGCAGAGCGGATCCGCCACAATAAAAGGCACCACGCTGCTGCCCTCTCTCTCTGTGTCTCTGTGTGTCTGTCTCGCTCCTCTCTGTGTCTGTCTCGCTCCTCTCCGTGTGTCTGTCTGTCTCGCTCCTCTCTTTGTCTCTGTCTCTCTGTCCCCCTGCTCTCTCTCCCTCCCTCCCTCCCGCCCTCTCTCTCTCTGCTCTCTGTCCCTCTGCTTTCTCTGTCCCACTGCACTCTCTGTCCCACTGCTCTCTCTGCTGCTCTCTCTCTCTCTCTCTCTCTCTCTCCCCCCAACCCCGTCGAGGCAGCCACTCTCTCCTTCAGATAATAAAGTCTCTTGCGTGGGCCCGTGTCTCCTGAGTCATTCTGGGTAAGGAGGGTCGCGGCAAGATACCCTTTCATTGGTGCCATGACTTCGGATGAGGCTCTCCCATTGACTTTGCTCTTCCTCCGGGTAAGCTGCTCTGGGAAACCTCGCTGCCCAATCCTCCTCCACGGGCTCACCGTCCATTTCCCTGGTCGCTCGTCTTCTCGCCCAACACCGGCCTTTGATTTGGTGAGTCTCCCCTTCATGGTCGACTTAAATGTCCCTTTGGAACCTGGGAAGTGACCGTTGAGTGTCTGGCACCCCCAAGGGCTCCTTTGAGACAGGGGCACCCCCAACCACGACTTTTAGAGCCATGGTTGATCCCCATAGTCGACCCTTCTCTGTCTCCCCATGGTGAGAATCCTCATCCACTGAGGCCCGGTCTCCCTTTATCTACGTTTCTACTCTATTCGAAAACTCATGGTACCAGGTACCGAGCCTCCCCGGCGTTTTCGCCTCGACCCCATAGTTAGAGGTGGTGACGACCCCCTAACTGTGCCTGGTCTTCTCCGTGACCTTAATCGGTCAGGGACGCCTCAGCCACTTCTGAACGGTCTCATTCTCACCATGGGATCTGGCCCCTCCGTTCCCGCAAATTCACCACTAGGGTGCTTACTCAATAAACTAAAGCCCCTCCACCTCACTCCAGACCTCAAACCTGTTCGCTACTGTAATGAGATCTGGCCACAATATCCCTTAGACAATCAGTCTAAATGGCCTCCAAATGGCTCTTTAGATCCTAAAATTCTCCGCAACTTATACAACTTCTGTGAGCGTACGGGCAAATGGAAAGAGATCCCATATATCCAGGCTTTCTCCTACCTCCAAACCAAGCTCTCTCTCTGGGAGACCCAAACACCTACTACTTGCCTTAAAGTACACACCCCTAAGCTTTTTTCACGTTCCCAAATATCCTCAACTGCCTATAAAACCCATAGACAATGCACCACCACGGGCACTCGTCCCCTCCTGGCTCATCCCAGGAGCTCTGCCTGTCCTCTCACTGTATCATTACGTCTCAATCTGTATGTTTGTGTGTAAGTGTGTAAATGAAAAATATTTTTCTACCTCTGGATGGTATTAATAAAAATTGATTTAGAGACAAGCACTTGTAAAAATTGGGCATTCTAAAATTTCCAGAAAATTCTAATAGAAGATATTAAGCATTAATGTTAATTTAAGTTGAACTGAATAGACATGTCCTTATGGTTATCAGCTGCCTAAGTTTACCTAAAATCATTTAAGTTGATGGTATCTGTTAAATCTTTCAAAGAAAAATGCTTAAAGTGAAGTGTAGCTTTGTCTAATATGAGTAACTATTTAAGCAAGTGCCTTAAAACTTTTAACAACTTCCCAAAATCAAATGCAAAAAGGTTCTTTTACCTCTAGTTAACTCAGATATTTTCCAGAGGACCCCTGGAACATGTCAGAGGAATTTTTTCTCATTGAGGAAAATATTTGTTTAATTTGGCTTATTTACCTGCTTAATTACCTGGAAGGCACTATCACAGAGAATGATGCTAAACTTTGTTACTGTTTTGTGTCACAAAAATATCCAAATTTCCCTATGACAACTGTCTTACAGTAAGCTCTCATCAGATCTTTAACCATTGTCATTTGTCTTTTGTCATCTATAGTCACTGTTTTATTACTCCTAAACTAGTAAAATAGATTTCAGCAGAACAGGTATTAATTACATAGGATTAAGTTACCTAAGGAAGATTATTTTGTAGCCTTTTGTTTCAAATGTTGATAAAGTGTTTTAAGCTTTTTCTCTTATGCTGACAACAGTTTAGTAAATGACTGCCTTTGTAAGCAGAATTGAAATTTTATCTTTCTCTCTACCTGATCCCTCCAGAATTTAAAAACTCTCAGTGACTATTTTTATATTTCATGGCAGTATGTTTATTTGCATAAGTTCAATAAGAATCTGCTTTCCTTGTAAGAGGACCAATTAAAAACACTGGTTATATTACAAAGGCTTTGACTGGAACGTCATACCTGAGAGACACATGTGTAAACTCAGATATGAACAGACGGCTTTGAGGAACTAAGATTGACTTTATAAAGCCAACAAAGCCCCTTGGAAGAACTGGCCTGTACCTTGCTTACAGAGTTCCCAGCAGCCTTACCAGGTGAGTAAGGAAGGTCACTTCCTGGCAGGTGCAGGAACCTCAGAAAGAGAGGAATTCACCCAAATCTACAGGTACTGCAGGCACAAGCTGATGACAAGTCTGGATTGGCTTTCGGGCCTCAAGAAGCCCTTAAAACTTCAATCTGAAATTCCTTGCAAAAAGTTCCAGCAAAGCACATTTAAAAGATCCCATGTAATCAATTACTCTTCTTGCTGCACTTATGCAAATAATCAAGCCAACTGTTAATTATTTTCTTAATCTGGCTACTTCTAATAAAAATGAGGGTGATTTTAGAGAAAAGTACTGTTTCAATAATGCAGTCTTATCTATACTAAATCCTAATACTAGTCATTGAGATGTAAACTCGATCCAGAATTTAATTTTCCCATGATACCTAGCTATGATTCTCAGTTAGGATCTTCATATTTCTAGTTCTCATATTCAGCCATGCATTCTTAATCTCATCAAGTTTGTCCTTCCAGAATGGAAAATCCAACTCCAGATGTTGCTACTTAACCTAATAACAATTTGTTCTATCTTGCCTAGAAGCCACAAAACTGCAAATAGTAATAGAAATGAAACCCAGAATAGAAGCACCAACCTTCTGAGGTCCTCTCAACTGACCAGTGATGGAGACCTAGCTGCACCCTTTACTGCGCCCCCTCTCAGCATGAAGCAGCCAGAGCAGTCGTTGCCCCCTTTCCCTAGCAGCAGCTAGAGTCTCCATCTGTAGAGGGGGGAATGAGACAAGGACCATAGGCTTAGAATAAAGGTGAGAGCCTCTGGAGAAAGTAAGGCAGGATATTTGCAGTCAGAGCAATGTAACTACATGCTAGGAACCCCCCCTACTAAAACTATGTTGAACATTAAGCTCTAGAATCATTCTTCAGTGAGATCAGTTAATGTTCCCCAGATAAAGAAGAGTAGCACATGTTTTATTATGCTAATCATTTGTAATCGTGTATAAGATTCACTTTAGCATACTAAAAGGCCCAAGTCTATGTGCTGTCTTTTCTTCAGATCTGACAAGGTAGTTTTGCAAACTGAGCAACTAACTTAGCGTGCAGACCCAGCTGTAGATGGCATAGTAAAAAGCAGGATTCTTTAGCAAATAGACAATACCTCAGCCCACCTTGGGAGCTGAGCAGGCAGCCTTTTGATATGCTTCCAGACCAAGACGCCAGTATCTCAGAGAAAAATCAAGGCAGGAAATTCCTTATGTTAAGTTAATTTTTAATATTCAGAGAACACTTAACAAGTCCTTCCCCAAGGCTTTAGGGATAGTCCCCACCTTTTTGGACAGGCTCTAGCACAAGACCTCAAATCCCTTACTCTCTCGAGCTCCACCCTCCTTCAATATGTAGATGATCTTATGTGCCACCCGTCCCTGCAAACCTCTCAACAGGATACTATTCTCCTTTTAAACTTTCTCAGAACACAGCTATCGGGTTTCACCCTCCAAAGTTCAGCTGTCTGCAGCTCAAGTCACATACCTGGGAGTTCAGCTCTCCCTGCTACAAGCCGATTACCATAGACAGGAAAAAACTTCTCCGAACTATGCCCATTCCAAACA